TACATATACGTAATGCAATTATTTAGTGAAATCCACCAGACCTTAGAACCCCACCCTATCTTCTCCTTGTGGTCTAGTGATCCGTCGCTTAGCAAAGCCTGCAGGGTATTCATGAAGGTATGTGCATACGCTAGGATCAATGATCCAACATCTTTAGATAGATTACTGTGTGAATATTGTGGCTTATTCCTTACATGCAACCTGAGTCATGCTATTGTCGTCTGTGTCCTATTTAAGCAAAAACGACTGGATGTAATGAAATTGTATTCACACGAAGAGGTAACCGACAATAATTTCCTCGTTAAAATGCTCTCTCTCCGTAACGTCGACGATCACGTGCGGAAACAAACAGTATTGTTTATATTCCTAGTCTGTAAGGGATTAGTATGAGACCACTCTATATAAATGTGATTCGTTTTTTTTTCTTATTATTATTATTATATTTTGTGATTACTATTATTATTGTATACAATGTTTTGTAATACTCTTCATATTTGGAGGATCAATAAAGATATATATATATATATATATATATATTAAAAACATTTTATTTGAGTAAAATATCACTTTAACCGCGTTTTATGAACCGGTATAAATCGTGAATTAGAGAATTTAACATTCGTTACAATAACTGGACAATAAATTGTTTGTCCAATGGACAATAGAAACAGTTATATGCAGACCTCGCCCCATCTCACATCCCCAAACAATAAACTATATTTACTTTCGTCCTGCTGCTAAAGGTTACCGTAAAGTAGTTGGACTTTAATATTCTCATCATCGTAAATCTGTCGATTACATTCAATTTTTATATTGTACGCTGCAATTTCTGATCATCGAGGTCCCGTGTATACATTGGTGTGCACGTAAAAGATCTCTTTGCAGTTGGAATTCGATATAAGAGTAGGCCGTAGAGCCGCTGTCTAAGCAAACTTTCCCTCATAGCACACCGTATGGCGTATGTCCGTCTTCATTAGCCCAATCGGAGCAGAACAGTAAGACGTTAAATCCCTTTTTATTTTATTTCACAATTTCTGATATGGTAAAACAGAATTTCTGGATGTATGGGGTTAAACAAGGTTATTGATTTTGTCTAGTAATTCGGAAGGGACGAAAAACCGAGTTTCCGTATGTATGTTGGCATGCACGCAAGACTATGGCCGAAGCGCACTGCACGACATAGGCCCGTCTTCATTAGCCCACTTGGTTGAGAACAGTAGAACGTTAAACCCCATTTCATTTCGTTTCGTTTCGTTCTCCTGGTGTATACAATGACAAATCTATGCTCATATAAAAAGTAAACAATTATATAATTCTCACAGACCTTGCCTTTTCGCACTGGATACATTTGACAGTTAATTTTATTCTTAACTTATTTTATGCCGCGAGGGGAATTTGCCAGACAATGGCGTGAAGGTCTGACCTAATTTCGATTCCGAACTGTCAGCGATTGAGTACCGTGCCGTCACCCTATTTTATTTGCGGGGTTGGGTGGCCGAATTGTCAGCGCGGGCGCGTTGTATCATAAGGTCTGTTATTGAGTCAACTTGCGTGGTTTCGATTCCTCGGTTGTACGTGACCAGGAGTAGGGTCGCCTGTCCAACCTCGTTCTTTTTTTCCGTACACCCGACCTCCAGGCTAGCGAGCCAGCGTCTTAACCACGTAGCCACCGTGGCTCCTCATAGAGAAATAGATTTGGCCAAAAATAAACATACTTATATGGATATACTACTTTTGAATTTTATTAACATGTGTGTTTATTTTTAAACGATCTTTTTAATTTAAAATCGCTGTCCAGTGATAAGTGATGTTTTAAAGGGATATTAGATAAAGATATAATGAAAACAAAATATGCTGAAAATTTCAGTAAAATTGCTTCACTCTGAACCGAGATATTAGCGATTTAATTTTAGGCTAGCCTCAATCGTCATTAATAACGTTGGTATGATAATAAACAAAGTCTCCATTATCCATTTTTACATTCAATTATCCATCAGAAAATGTATTCAAACTCAATAAATATCACAGGCTAACGATGGTACGGAGGGTTGATTATGGTCTTGATAAGTTAATTAACGTCTAATTAATAATTTATATAACATTTAAGGCCATAGGCAGATTAAGCTCTTGTATAATGCCGGGGGGGGGGGGTGTCTTATAGCATCCCTGAGAACGCTTCCCGCCACCCACCCCCTCCCTTTGTTCTGATCTAGTTACAGCCCTGCTGTTTGATAAACGACTTACAGAAGGTTCATAAGTTTTATATATAGTCCTCATCACTTTTTAAATTATTTGCAAACAAATGCAATTATTTTAGTTCCATATCCAACGGAAGCACACTACCGAATGCAGAGCAGAAACACGTTTAATAGCAGGCCCGTCGGACGCACACTAACGAATGCAGAGCAGAAGCACGTTTGAGCAGGCCCGTCGGACGCATACTACCGAATGCAGAGCAGAAGCACGTTTGAGCAGGTCCGTCGGACGCATACTACCGAATGCAGAGCAGAAGCACGTTTGAGCAGGCCCGTCGGACGCATACTACCGAATGCAGAGCAGAAGCACGTCTGAGCAGGCCCGTCCGAACCAAATTCATATGGGGAGAGGGCGGTAAGCGTAACAATTACGTCTCCGTCAATTTTACTACGATCAATATGAAACTTGGCATGTTTGTTCCTTGGACAACTGCGCATCGATTTTGGATATGACGTCATTCCAAGAAAGCTGCGATGACGCCATATTCACTTCTTGGTCAATTTGTACTATAATAAACACATATTTGTAAATTATTAGGGGAGTAGTTGGGAGCTCCGACGGTCCTGAAGAGTGCATAGTTGTCATGCACTTACTAATAGGACTATATTGACGATATAATAAACGTGAAACTAAGATTAAAGGCGAGATACTAGAAGTAAATAATGCAAGATAAATACTACAAGATATTAATTAGACAGATGTTAAATAGAATAATAGTCTACATCAAATAAAATATCATATAGGGAATACAGTAATTAACATAACACATGGAACAATAACATAATATTATAAAATGGGGTTTAACGTCCTACTATTCCGTACAACGTCATGTTATGAAATGAAATGGGGTTTAACGGCCTATTATTCTGCAAAGCCCTGTATAGGGTAAGTTAGAACTCATTTACAGGCGCCATTTTGAGTCCCAAATTTCTATGGTCCCAACTATGACGCCATAAAAACTATGACGTCATGACGTCATATGAAAATTCTGGCTTCACAGTTGTCGCAACTTTATATATACGGCTTTGCCATTCTGTACAACGTGATGTTATGAAATAAAAATGGGATTTAACGTCCTACTATTACGTACCACATGATATTATAATTTGATTACTTACCATTTATCTATTTTCCGGTGTGGTTCCTTCCCCTTGTCAGTGATGCAGGACGGAGGGCTTGACAAGGACAGCTGTCTAGTCGTTCGGATGGGACGAAAAACCGAGTTCCCCGTGTACACATTAGCGTGCACGTAAAAGATTCCTTGGCAGTTGGAATTCGATATAATTATAAGAGTAGCCCACAGTGCCGCTGTCCGGGCAAAATTTCCCTCATAGCACATTAGCCCAGTTCGGAGCAGAACAGTAGGACGTTAAACCCCATTTCATTTAATTTCAATACCATTTACCTCAAAAACTTTCATTTTACTTAAAGGGACAATAACACTCTTGCTGGCTTGACAGCTCCAGAAAATAAATAATAGCCTTATTTTAAGTACTAGATGTTTAAGTGTCCTACCTGTTGTCTAAATTATCCATTACAGCCTATTTTACTTGTCCAGAGGGTTCGAAAATATTTTATAATCCAAGTCACAGTTGAAAAGGTTTACGTTAGGCTTTTTCCAATTTTTTAAATTAGGTGTGTTAAGATAAAATTTGTATCATCAATTAATTGGAATATTGTAAAATAGTACAATTGGTTGACCAGAATAAAGATTGGGACATATTATTCATTTACAACAAGGGTGGTATTGAGCCTTTAATGACACATTTACAACAAGAGTGGTATTGAGCCTTTAAAGATTTATTTGTAAGAATTTGATAAAGAGATGGTCGTTCTTGTTCAACACTAGATAATGAAGAATGAATATATTGAAAATTTCATTGAAATTATTTTGTTCTGGGTGAAGTTATCAATGTTTGTAGTTTGGACGAGATGAAGCGTAGATTGTTTATTGTTAAATTTTTAAATCTCGCGGGTGTTCAAATCAATTTCAATTTCGCCCAGCCCTTGATATAGAGAGTTGCTTATGGGCCTGTAAATGATAAATGTCTAAATAATAATTTAAGCCAAAATAAAGACATGCACTAGTCTTAATTACCTCTTACATAATGCATAATACAGTGGGTTCTTTTTTTATTTTTTTATTCTTGCTATGACGTTATCATGTATGCTTTATTCTTATACAGGATATCTAACAAAATGACAATGATACCCCAGAAAAATATTCTGGGTCAATTGTGATTTCGGTAAGTTACACTAATTCTGATTGAAGCTCTATCCGATTTCATTTTGTTGGCTATTGTTAAAAGCTACTGTAATGTTCTTTATGTACAAAAGTCCTATTTTAAGTTCTTACGCGTGTAATAGAGCAGAAAACAATGACGTGAAAAACACACAGCAGAAATAGTTCAAGTTATGTTGAAATTGTGAACCAAGTGCACCAAAATCAAAAAAGAAGAAAAAAAACAAAACAAAAAAGGAAAAAAATCCAAAAAAAACAAAAGTTTGACACGCCATGAAAGAAAATGTTTTGAAGTGTTATAGAATGAAATCCCAACAACTTCTTTTGTATCAATCATTGATTCAATACCGACGATCGTGATGTATATATTTATTATTATGTTGGTTTTATTTTTATAATTATTCACTAGCAAAATATCGTTTAGGGAGGGACCGTTCTATCTAGTTTTATGGTCGGAGTAAAGGTTTTGATTGTGGGCGTGTCTGTATATTGTTGCTCCGCCCCTTCCTATGAATAACATCGATAGATATATATATATACTATGTGTTGTATTTAGCCTCACCATCGACATAGAGAAGGCCGAAAGATGTATACATTAACAATATTATCCTGTTTGGGTGAGTTACTAAATAATTTTTTAGTTTGAAAGATGAACTATTACCGATATTTTAGGTTTGAAATTTGAAATTATACGGTTTCACAGAGTGTATATATTTATTGAATTAGTTACCTCTGTATTAAATATAGTTATAACAAATAAATATAAAAGGACTAAGCACAATCTACAAAAATAACTAATTAAGTCTCTCTCCCAATCTGGGAGCACGGTGATTCAGTGAGTAAGGCATTCATCAGGATATTTGACGCGGTTTCCACTTGTCAGTGGTGCAGGACAGAGCGCAGGCAAAGAAAAGCGTATAGTCTTTCCCTCATAGGACACTGCATAACGTATGCCCGTCTTCATTAGCCCAGTAGGCACAGAACAGTAGGAAGTTAAACCCCATTTCATTTTTATTTCTTTTTCCCAATGGGCACCATATAAAATACACACAGAATTGTATACCAGTTGAAGAGGCAGGCAACAAACATCCCGGTGAGGGCTCAATTTTTAAAAATCCTGAACATTACAATTCTGAACTATATCGTACACACAATAGCTAACATCAGACGTCCACTCGACACAAACTAACTCATATGGGACACTTGTGTTTCAATAATTCACTTGCGCGTAGGGGTCTTTAGCAGTTTGAGGAAACCGGAGGTACAGGAGAAAATCCACGAAGTTGGACAGGCGATCCGTGCCGCTTGACCTAAGGCCAGGCCCTATGATCTAAAACATGTGAGCTAGACCATTCAGCCACCAGCCCTTAACCCATGGATCCCTGGTTTACCTATAATTCTGACGACTGCCGTACACCAGGGAGGACATGAAGTCTCTTTCAACACCATGTGATATCATTTCTAATTTACATAGCGAGTTCACACAGATATCATAATTTGGGAGTATTGTTGTCTGTGTACATAATAGTTAGAGGAAGAGGTCATGAAAACCTAGTACAAGTTTTTCTTCGCCGCGACGATACATTTAACAGAACTTAGAGTATGCACGCGGTCTATAAACTGTACGCTTTGATATACACAAGCATGACTTAAGGTAGCTAAGTCTCTAACTCGACATTGAAAACACGAATTATTTGTCAATTTAAATTAACAATGATGTTGTGATCTTACCGGGAAAAGATGGGCTTCTGAAATCCAATATTTAAGACAAAATAAACATTTTACCATTGGTACACGAATCGTGTACCATAATGCGTTTCGGCGCCATTTGTAACAAGGGACTCGAAGAACGCGGCACAAATCATATCAAACAGTGACGCTATATTCTTATCTGGAGAGCAAGCGCAATAAATACTATCGGTGTAGTTTGGAATAACCAGACGCTAGAAATTGCCATTCGACTGAGACTTCTGGCGTATTTCGCCGAACAAAACTGATTTGAAATTAGAGTAAAAACGGAAACGATTGAATGTAAATCAGTTTATATACATTCATATTACATTATTGTATACGTTGCCACCCATTTGTGTCAATTTCTAGGAGGTCGCAAATATTAGCGATTTAGCTCCTTTAATAGATTGGAATGTACCATTCACAACATCCACCAAATAGCATGGCTTTGAACATATACGAAACTAACGCTGTCAGACAAAATACACGAAGCTAAGTGACCGACATTTTAAGTTGAAATTCGGCGATTTTAGTCGAAAACACTAAGCCTACTTCGAGCGAGACTATTGAGAAATATTTATCCCGCTTCCATTTAATGAAATTGAAAATGTCATTTAGTTGTATGAAAGATGTACGACGGATAACAACCAATCATTCCGATTAAAATACAGATCTATATTTCGTTTCGTTTTTTTTAATACTTTCGACAGCCTACACTACACGAAGATCTGAACAGTTGTAGTGTAAGGTCGCGTCAATTGTCATACGAGCGGCTATTGACCTTATGACGTCAGACATTGATTAATCAATCAACGTTGATGTTTCTAGTGGTTTACCCACAGTTCCGTGCACCTCACAGACCGTTTCATTGGATAATCCGTCACATCAACCAGAACGCGTGTTATAATAACTCTTCCACATCTCAGTGTAGTAAAGACAAGTAAAACGAAATTTTGAACTATAAAAAACGAAACGAAATAGGATCTGTGTTTTAATCGGATTGATAACAAAATAAGACACCGATTATTTTAATATGGCGGCGCTTCGGGGCAGATCTCTATTCTCTATTCCGTGTCCCGCATGGCCTTTGATGTTCATTGTAAATGGGTAAATATTTATTTAACTTGAAAAGAATCGAGTATTAAACGACGATGGTTTGTGCTCCTTTATCAACTTCAACTTCAAACACTTTCTAGGACAGAAGTTCAAAACTATTTTACTTTTCTAAGAACAGAAGAAAAATACACAATAATACGGGAGTAATTATTTGAGAAAACGTTCAAAATAATCTCACCATTTATATTGAAAAGTTACGCACATATGAGTTTGATTCCACGGTTGTACGTGACAAGGAGTAGGGCCGCTTGTCCAACCTCGTGAGTTTTCTCTCGGTTCCCCGGTTTCCTCCCACTGCTAAAGACCCCTAGGCACAAGCGAAATATTGAAATAGAAATCAAAACCATATGTTAGTCCCGAAATGGCCTAGTTTGAGCCGATTGGACGCTTAACCCCATCTCTCCGGGTCCTCCGTTTTCCCCCCACTCCTAAAGACCCCTACGCGCAAGCGAATTATTGAGTTAAAATTAAACCATATGTTAGTCCCGAAATGACCTAGTTTGTGTCGAGTGGGCGTTAAACCTCAATTATCTCTCTCTCTCTGTCTCTCTCTCTCTCTCTGAGTAAATATTTAGCGTGGATTAAAGTCAGGATGCGCCATTTTTCACCAAATTTATGAATATAAACGCACGTGGATTATTCTATATTTAAACAAGATAACGATATTAACGCTAGATAATATCTCAGCTCCGATTCAAAACAGGTCTATCAATGAATTTTCGCGGACGACAAAATGGCGGTGGGATTATCACACAGCAAAGCAACATAGATCGATGTAATTTCAATACCACATATCTTTGTAAATACTGAACGGGATTGAAGTATTATTGGACTGATATTCCTGTTAGAGATTCAAATTTCACAATATTATAGTTGAGAAGTAATTCCTGTTTCGCTAAAATCGCCCATTGAGACTTTATGAACAGAGAGAGAGAGAGAGAGAGAGAGAGAGAGTTGGTGTTTAACGCCCACTCGACACAAACTAGGTCATTCCGGGACTAACACATGGTTCAATGTTATTTCAATAATTCACTTGCGCGTAGAGTTCTTGTAGCAGTGTAAGGAAACCAGAGGACCCGAAGAAAACCCACGAGGGAGAGAGAAATGGGGTTTAACGTCCACTCGACACAAACTAGGTCATTTCGGGACTTACATATGGTTCAAGTTTAATTCAGTAATTTGCTTGGTGGAGGGATCTTTAGCAGTGGGATGAAACCGGAGGACCCGGGGAAAACCCACTAGGTTAGACAGACGACCCTACTCCTTGTCACGTACAACCGGGGAATCGAACCCACGCGAGTTGACTCAATGACAGACCTGATGATACAACGCGCACGTGCTAACCATTCGGACCCCCCCCCCCCCCGTATCTGGCCTTTTATTGTTTATTGCAATATGAAATTAGTAGAGAATATAAGATGATTTAGTTTAATATATATTTCCTTGTTGTATTTATAGCAGTTGGATTATTCCATCAAGCAGTAGGACAACTGGAAGGTGGAGTATGTACAGAAGACGATTTCTTTCCCAACATTGCGGATCCGATTAATTGTTCCGGGTATTTTAAATGTATAGGCGGTGCCTACGAACCGTACCGATGTCCAGCCGGTCTCGTCTTCAGTACAGCAACTGTAGCTTGTGATTGGCCAACAGCAGGAGGGTGCCAGGGTAAGTTTTATAAAATATTATATCACCCAAATCGCGACCATCCGATCGTCTAGAGAGTTGATTATAGGCTTGCTGTTAGAAATGGTTCCACTACTGATGTCTTCCGCCTTACACCAGCCACAGTAGTGGCTCGTCCTACGGAGTTCCTTTGCGCAAGTGTTTTAGTCAAATGACTACGAAAAGGTTACTGGCCGATAGCTTCCTTAATGTACACATAAATTGACCCAAAACTGTACTGCACATAGCTTAACATATAATAAACCAATTCCCATTGAAATAAAGGTGAAGCCTTGCCGCATAATTATATGATATGAAACCCAACTGCTACGCGAAATTTCTCGCCTACCGAACTTATTTCAACTGGCCGGTGTCATGGTGGCTTTCACATTATAAGAAACATCGCTTTGAAAATGTAGAACGCATTACCACAAAGAAAAACTGTTCGGTAACTATTTTAGTGGTCCAGTCTTCACTATTTGTGATAGAATTACTTAATTCATTACAAACTGTAATGATATGTGTTGACAATTGTGCGTTTGAACCTATTTAAACTTGCATAAGGAGTCTTAGACTGTATCAATTGTAGCGTTAAACACAGTTTAACGATACATTTAATTGTAGCTAGCTTGCTGTATGAATATTAATTTATATAACATTTATGGCTAGAGGCACACCCGCTGTCAGATTTACCTGTTACACAATGCATCTTTAAAATGTTCTATAACAGGACTCGGGTACAGCTGTCTAGTCATTCGGATGGGACGAAAAACCGAGGTCTCGTGTACACATTGGCGTGCACGTAAAAGCTCCCTTGACAGTTGGAATTCGATATAAGAGTAGACCGTAGTGCCACTGTCTGGGCAAAATTTCTCTCATAGCACACTGTATGGCGTATACCCGTCTTCATTAGCCCAGTTCGGAGCAGAACAGTAGGACGTTAAACCCCATTTCATTCCATTTATATCCGGTAATAATTCTATTGTAATGAACATTGAATATGTCGTTTTATAATTGAAACAGCATTCATCGCCTAACCTCACCTGTTTTTGGGAAAATGATGCCCACAATTATTTACAATGACCAGACGACAGACCTTTTCGATATTTCATGAACAAAGAATTGATTTTCTTCCATATATTTAATCGTTTTTTTTTGGTTTGTTACAGCAACAACGTCACTACCAGCAAATTCATTAATTGACTTCCCAGCTGATGGTAAGTAGTGTGATAATCTAGTCTACCCATTCCCTGTTGGTAGTAAGTATTGTGATAATTTAGTCTATCCATTCGCAGCTGATAGTAAGTATAGTGATAATCTAGTCTATCCATTCCCAGTTGGTAGTAAATAGTGTGATAATCTAGTCTACCCATTCCCACCTGATAGTAAGTATTGTGATAATCTAGTCCACTCATTCCCACCTGATAGTAAGTATTGTGATAGTCTAGTCTAGTAAATAGTGTGATAATCTAGTCTACCCATTCCCACCTGACAGCAAGTATGATAATCTAGTCTACATAGTCAATCATGGAACAATGGGAAGACCCAAAAAGAACATACATGTATTATAGATTCGTTTATGGCGTTAAACGAATTAGGCTACGTCATGTCTGCAGACTATGACGTACGAGTGATTTACGAACTTATTAAAATGGTTTAGCGAGATTAACACGATGTTCATTTTTCTACTTTCAGTTTGTTCTATCCAGCCATGTGCTGCTGATCGAGATTATCTGTTACCCAATTATAACAAAGCCGGAAACAGCGACTTCTACGTTTGTAAGGGCGGGAAACTCTATGAGCAAAAATGTGGAACCTCGCCAGGAACAGAGGAATTCTTGTTCTATAACGTTCTCCGTAGCTCGTGCGAGAAACAACACTCCAGAGACTCTCTTTATTAAAACGGAACTTACTTTCATTAACACAAATGACGTAATACACAAATGACGTAGTGTACACGGAGAATCTCCGATACAGTATCGTCTAATATAGAATTTAAACATTTATTTCATGGAAAATTTACGGTTGATGAAAAATGCCGGAATTTTGACTTTATTTCGTTTAAATACGCTATGTAAATAATTGCATAATAAGGAGAGTAATCACTATTTAATCGATCACTATTTAACCTTGAACTTGAACATTGACCTTGACCTTTATTTATGACCTGTTAACCCTGTCCTGTGATTTTATTGATATGATATTCACAGATTGTTGTATTGTTAACGACACAAATAAAACCTTTAAAAAAGATATTGCTTTGGTTTTCCTTTCAATATGCAGTTGTCGATCTATCCATGAAGAAGCGGCGAATCACTAGAGGTCTGGACGCAGTGAGCCCCAAGATCTGTACATGGATAGTCGCTAGTCTCCCGATCTTTAAATGGGGAAGCTTTAGACCCGCACGCTGCTAGTATCTGTTCTTTCATATGAAGTGTATATAGGCATCCACATGGACAATTCCTTGGATTTCACACCACGACGGATCCTAGCCTTGGAGTCTATTTCGGCCTACACATGGAGACGTTTTACGGCCCAGACGGAACAAGTCACTTATCAGAAAGAGAAAAACGGGTTATTTTGGGACAAATATATGGTATATTGCAATATTTCACTTGGTCAGGGGCAGAAGGGGGGGGGGGCATTGAAGTACCCAAACGAAGCGTTCGAGGTTAGATACATACAACCCTGAGATACTAAAGTCTTGTGATATACAGCAACGTAATAGGCCACGTGACCATCAAACCACCCCAGAAGGGCTGTAACTGTCATGGTTACCGTGTCTATATACAGAATATGATGATACTGTTGATTTTAAAAACACGCCCATTGGTAGGCCTATATAAGTCCACTGTCGCGTGATGCGTTACAATAGGATTGTGTCTAATGGGTCCACGATCTAGTACGTGCAGATAAGTTCGGATACGTTTCGACACCGTAAACACGATTGCTACGACTGTCCTAAATATATGATAAGTTATATTTCTAGCACGGCTTTCATGAGTTAACAGGTTTAACCAGAGGCCACAGGCCGAGGTGTTAAACCTGTTAACGAATGAAGCGTGCTATAAATGAATTGTATCATTGAAACCTGCTCAACATGCTTGTTGTTATTGCACAGAAAACCCACCCCACTGCTCTATATGATTTTTACTAAAACTAGTGTAAACCAGCAAAAGTATGCAATAACATTGAACATGTCTAGTTATTGCACGGTTAAGCTCCAACCAATCTACTAGAGGGAAAACAATCTGCTTATTCAACGAAAAGAACCAAGGAAGATTTCCCGTCCATGCTACAAGACTTGATTCATCACCAGACCACGATTACTCCACGATTAAAACCACGATTTAGTGATAGTGTAAACCATAGGCTAAGCCAGGACGCTGCACACCAAATTCGAACTCCTCCTTAGAACTGCTGATGCTTAACATATAGTTTCATCTTCATCGGACCAAATATGGTAGTCGTCTGAGGGTCCATAAACTTCGTACGGTTGTGTTTAACAGACAGGGGCCATTATTACCCATGGTATGATGGAACTAATCATTTATTTTAAAATTTCATCAATATCGGAAAACAAGTGTGACCTCTCTCTGTACAGCCCACAAACAAATCTGAAAGGATGTTTGGGCGCACATGTGGGCGACGATTTAATACTTCCACGTGAAAATGTCGGCATATAAAACCCCCTAAATCGGTCCAGTGGTTAAAATTCTGTTAAAAGAAAGCCGAACAGTTACGCCATTTGAAAATGCATGTGACTAACGTGATTTTCTTAAATAAATTATCCTAAATGGACACCTATTCAGATTTTAGTACCCTGTATCCAGATTTGAACGATTGTTGCATTTATCTGTCTTACTATGCATAGTCATTGCTTGGAGATTCATTATCGATATTCATTTCTGTTTTTGGGGCGATACAGCGAAAAGGAAGTCCATCTGGCCCAGTTTATCACAATCTAATAAAAATACAGGTCCTATTTCGTTTCGTGTTTTATTCTTCAAAATTTCGTTTTACTTGTCTGCACTATACTAGGATCTGAAAGAGTTGGCAATAATCCGTGTTCTTGGGGATGTCAAGCATTAGCCAATCAAATGGTTTCTTCAATATAGAAAAGAAAATGAAATGAAATGAAATGGGGTTTAATATCCTACTGTATTGCACCGACTGGACTAATAAAGGCGGACATACGCCATACTGTGTTTTATGGGGGAAAATAACAAAATTGGCCCAGGCAGCGGCAATATGGCCTACTCTTATATCGACTTCCAACTGCCAAGGTATATTTTACGTGCACGTCAATGTATACACGGGACCTCGGTTTTCCGTCCCATCCGAACGACTAGACAGCTGTCCTGGCCAGGCCCTCTGTCCTGCACCACTGACAAAAGGAAACCACGTCCTCGGAATATCCCGATGAACTTTCTCGGCCAATACAGCCAGCGTCTTACCCACTTAGCCACCGTGGCCCCCTCACAATCATAGACAGCGTAACAAGGCAAAAGTACGGCCGTATAGCCACCTAGAAAAATGAAATGAAATGAAATGGGGTTTAACGTCCTACTGTTCTGCTCCGAACTGGGCTAATGAAGACGGGCATACGCCATACAGTGTGCTATGAGGGAAATTTTGCCCGGACAGCGGCACTACGGCCTACTCTTATATCGAATTCCAACTGTCAAGGGATGTTTTACGTGCACGCCAATGTGAACACGGGACCTCGTCGGAAAATCTGGATGAAGTTTCTCGGCCAATGCAGGGATCGAACACCCGACTTCCGGGCTAGTGAGCCAGCGTCTTACCCACTTAGCCACGTGATCCCTTGCCACTGATTGCTTAATCGAATGACTTCCACCATAGGGTCAAAAGTCGTCCGTATGACCCCTGACACAACCTTACACTACAATCGGACATATTTTAATGTAGAAGAGGCCTACCAAAATATATACAAACGAAACGAAATATAGATATGTATTCTAAATGGCGTATATTGCCGGGAATCTTTCTTAAACATACATTACGTAAGAGCTAAATCTGCCTATTGCAGGTCTTTCTTTAGGCCTGAAAAGTTATATAAACTATTAATTAGACAATAATAAACAAAACAAGACCATAATCGACTCTCGATGGCATCGGATAGTCGAGATTTTAACTAGATTAAAATGGTTCGCCATTTAAAAATTTAATTTAAAATGGGAAAGCGAGGCTAAGTCCCGATTATACCAGTGCCCTGGTTACCATTGTGCACACATCTTGTCAAAACTACAAACAATGATAACTTGGCTGAGAGTGAAGTAATTTGAATGAAATTTTCAATATTTTCTTTTTTTATCATCTATTTTTGAATTATTATAACAAGAATGACCAACTCTTTATAAAACTCTTAACTAATGTATCTTTAAGGAGGTAGACCACAAGGAAACTCATTTAGAATGCAGACCCAGTTATTTATACATACTTCTTATTTCTGTGAATTTTCATTAATGTTTTTTAACTAGAATCCATGAAAAGGGTTTTGGTCAATTTCTGGCGGACGGTTAAGCCGGTAAAAAAGCACGACACAGAAGTATTACTTAGTCTGGTTTAAATTGATGACGGGATTACTTAGTCTGGTTTAACTTGATGACGGGATTACTTAGTCTGGTTTAACTTGATGATAGGATTACTTACTCTGGTTTAACTTGATGATAGGATTACTTACTCTGGTTTAACTTGATGACGGGATTACTTAGTCTGGTTTAACTTGATGATGTAATTACTTAGTCTGGTTTAACTTGATGATAGGATTACTTACTCTGGTTTAACTTGATGATGGGATTACCTAGCCTGGTTTAACTTGATGTAATTACTTAGCCTGGTTTAACTTGATGTTTAACTTGATGACTGGATTACCTAGCCTGAATTAACTTGATGATGGGATTACTTACTCTGGTTTAATTTGATGATGGAATTACTTAGCCTGGTTTAACGTGATGGAGTAATTACTTAGTCTGGTTTAACTTGATGATGGGATTACTTAGTCTGGTTTAACTTGATGATGGAATTACTTAGCCTGGTTTAACGTGATGGAGTAATTACTTAGTCTGGTTTAACTTGATGATGGGATTACTTAGTCTGGTTTAACTTGATGATGGGATTACTTAGCCTGGTTTAACTTGATGACGGAATTACTTAGTCTGGTTTAACTTGATGATGGGATTACTTAGTCTGGTTTAACTTGATGATGGGATTACTTAGCCTGGTTTAACTTGATGACGGAATTATTTAGCCTGGTTTAACTTGATGGGATTTCTTAGCCTGGTTTAACTTGATGATGGGTTTACTAAATCTGGTGGATAAAGAGTAACCGGAAATGTAGCTGTCCGTGTACCCCCCCCCCCCCCCACACACACACATCATAGTACACGACATAATTCCAATTCGCGTAGAAAACTACAATCTAATTAAAACACAGGTCACGGTTCGTTTCGTTTTTGTAATTCAAAATTCCGTTTTATGTACGGAGGGTCTGGGCCATGGACGTCATTGGTCTGGACCAACTGTCCACATTTGACGGGATATTCGAGCCGATAACTTATATACTACACTAGTATAACAAAACGAAACGAAATATGCATTAAAATTTTAATCAGATGGAGTAAAGCAATACTTTAAAGTAGCTAAGTCTCTAACTCAATATCATTAAAAATCTTCAACATTGAAAACACGAATTATTTGTCAATTCAAATCAACATTGGTCTGGTGATCTTACGGGGAAAAGATGGGCTTCTGATATCCAATATTCAAGACAAAATAAACATTTTGTCTTTGGTACATGAATCGTGTACCATAATGCGTTTCAGTGCCATTTGGAACACGGGACTCAAAGAACGAGGCTAGACATTACCACATTTTATGTCAAATGGTGACGCTATATTCTTATCTGGAGAGCATGCGCAATAAATACCATCGGTTTAGACTGGAATAACCAAACGCTAAAGATTGTCTTCAATTGAGACTTCTGGCGTATTTCGCACAACATAACTGATTAGAAATTACAGTAAAACAGAAATGATTGAATGTAAATCAGTTTATATACATTTATATTACATTATTATATGTGTTGCGACCCATTTGTGTCAATTTCTAGGCCCAAAATATTAGCGATTTAGCTCCTTTAAACTCTGTTTCACTTCATTCATGCTTTACTGCAAAGGAAGCAAAGCCCGTTGAAATATCGCCCATATAATACTGTATGACGTGTGCTCTTCATCGTTAGTCCAGAGCTGTGGACCAGTGAGCATGGCACTGATCTTGCTGACGAGGAGGGTCTAGGTTCGATCCCGGTGTTGGCCGCGAAGATTTGTAGTCTGGTTTCCCCTTGTCAGTGTTACAGGGCGGGGGCCTGATGAGGAACAGTGAGGCGAAAACCCGAGGTTCCGTGTCGTGCACGTAAAAGAACCCTTGTCAGTTGAAATTCGAAATAAAAGTAGGCCGCAACGTCGCTGGAAAGGCAACTCTATCCACATAGAACACTGTATGACTTATACCTGTCTCCATTAGCCCGTTAAACCCATTTTATTTCATTTGATACAGAATAGGGGGTTGGAAGGCCGGATGGTTAGCACGTGCCCGCTGTTTCATAAGGTCTGTCATTGAGTCAACGGGCGGGGTTTCGATTTCCCGGTTGTACGTACCAAGGAGTAGGATAGCCTGTCCAATCTCGCGGGTTTTCTCCGGTTTCCTCCAACTGCTAAAGACCCCAACGTGCAAGCGAATTATTGAATTAAAATAAATTGAACCATGTGTTAGTCGCGAAATGACCTAGTTTGTGTCGAGTGGACGTTAAACCCCCCCCCCTCTCTCTCTCTCTCTCTCTCTCTCTCTCTATTTGGTACAGAAGAGTGCTTTATGTTGTAGATTATTAAATACCAAAAAGATAAAATCTTACATGTGAACAGACCAAATGACAAATATTATTGATTCTGATATTTGATCACCAGTGTCCAATGTAAATAAAAACACGGTTTATTATCATTAAACATGTGTTATAGCAGTATATATACATGTACATGTGTTTTCACAAAATTAAAAAAAATAAAAAAATAAATCAAGGGTTTTTAGAAAAAAATCATTATAAAGGTTTTTTCCGAATGATTAAAGAAGCTTTATGTTAGGGCTAAATCTGTCCACTGCATGTCTTTATTTAGGTTTTTTACACATGATCAGTCAATAATAGAGCCTCTATCGGATAATCGTGATCAGCCAATAATCGAGCCCCCAGACTATCGGATGATCGTGATCAGCCAATAATCGAACCTCTAGACTATCGGATGATCGTGATCAGCCAATAATCGAACCTCTAGACTATCGGATAATCGTGATAAACCACTAATCGAACCTCTAGACTATCGGATAATCCTGATATTTAATTCAGCAGAACATTTACCATTTTATGGTCTAATCTAAAAATGGAGACGTTTTTTTATTAGCGTAGCAATGGTACTTGGCAATCCAAACTTCAAGTAGTCATAACTTCGCTAAGAATAAAATTATTTGACGGAAATTTTCATAATATTCATTTTTCATTATCTATTTGTGAACAGCGCCATATTTAGATCTTACATAAAATTACACGCATTTCATAAGCACGTGTTAAACTTCAGTTTAACAACAGGATTTGTTTTTATGTGTTGATGTTAGATTTAATCATAATACGACAGGATTGTCTATTACATCATTTCTTGGTACAATATTAACTTTAGAAACAAAAATATTCTATCAAGTCCTCGTAAACAAATAAATCATTAACTTCTGTTTTAAAATATTTCATACGTAAACAACGTTTTATTCATAAATATCCATTGCATAACATGAACATACTGACAAAGACAATACAGGTAGATCATGACACTGTAAACAATAATACAGGTAGTTGTTATTATATATATATATATAAAAAACAATACACCCACCTTCCCAAACAACTCATGTATAGAGGAGAGAGAGAGAGAGAGAGAGAGAGAGAGAGATGGGGTTTAAACTAGGTCTTTTCGGGACTAACATACGGGTCAATTTTATTTCAATAAAATATAACGATATAGCCACCTTCCCCAACAGCACATGTATAGAGGAGAGAGAAAGAATTGGGGTTTAACGTCCACTCAACACAAATTAGGTCATTTCGGGACTAACATATGGTTTAATTTTTTTTTCAATAATTCGCTTGCGCGTAGGGGTCTTTAGCAGTGGGAGGAAGCCGGGGACCCGGAGAAAACCCACGAGGTTGGACAGGCGACCCTACTCCTTGTCACGAACAACCAGGGAATAGAGAAGATGAGCAATGACAACATATAGTAAGTACACAGAGGACACACATTAGTCCCAAAAAGTTAAAACATCATACCGCCCTAACAGTAAAATAAAAAATAAGCACACAAGATGCAAACACTACAATCTAAAACAGATCAGAAATGAAATGAAATGAAATGTGGTTTAACGTCCTCCTGTTCTGCTCCTAACCTACTCTTATATCGAATTCCAACTGTCAAGGGAAAACAGATCAGATGTACGTGATAATCATTTCACCGAATTGATCTATGATTATTAAACAAATATATCACTATTTTTTTGGGAAGTATGCTATGAGGGAAATTTTGCCCGGACAGCGGCACTACGGTCTACTCTTATATCGCATTCCTACTGTCAGGGGATCTTTTACATGCACGCCAATATGTACACGAGACCTCGGTTGTTCGTCCCATCCGAACGACTAGACAGCTGTTCTTGTCAGCCCCCCCCCCGTCCTGCAGCACGGACAAGGGGGAAGCACGCCGGAAAAGATGCCCGCGCTGTCGAATGATTGATATAAAGATTACAATATGTATGACCTACTCAAGGGTTAACGCTAGAGATGTTTACATCTCGTGACCTTAAGGAAATCTGCAGGTGACCTTGGTAAATAGATCTAACTTTCTAGTATTGCCAAAGTGTCCATAATCTCAAAATAATCAGGAATTGTGATGAAGAGACGTTTCATGCCTTGTCTTTACAGGGTGGTTGGGAGGCGGAATGGTTTAATGCGTGCGCGTTGCATCATGAGGTCTGTCATTGAGTCAAGTGGCGTGACAAGGAGTATGGTCGCCTGTCCAGCCTCTGGGTTCTCCAGTTGAAATAAAATTGAACCATATGTTAGTCCCGAAATGACCTGGCTTGTGTGGAGGAGACCTTAACCCATCTCTCTCTGTCTCTGCCTCTCTCTCTCTCTCTCTCCCACTGCTAAAGACCCCTACGCGCACGGAAATTATTGAAATACAATTAAACAATATGTTAGTCCCGACATGACCTGGTTTGTGTGGAGGGGACCTTAACCCATCCCTCTCTTTCCCTGTCTTTAGAAAATATATTACAGTTTTAATTTTAAAACCCTCGTGGTCGTCATTATGACGCACGTATGTTTCAAATTTAATGTTGACTAGCGGTAAACGTGCTGTTTAAAAGGAACGGAAACTGGGATACAATTCAATACATATCACAAACAATAACTATAGATTCATACCTTGCCACACCCTAATACCTGGTATTTGACGGACACCTGTCAATCAGTGTAGGTATACTACAGGGTGTGGTCGCCTCCACCTATAGTTGTAAGTATACCTGTATGACTGACAGGTGTATATTATAGATATAAAATAGTAATACACCTGTAATTAGTATATAGTCGGCTCCTGATACAGGTGAAACATACCGACATTATAACATCAACATGAAGACCTTCCTTATCTTAGGTAAGTGTTGCATTTTTATATTAATATAGTTATTAGCAATAACGAATGTCGTACTCTGAGCAGGGTATGCTTATTCTTTCTAGAACACATGATGTATAAACAATTGGACGGTTATGGTTTAGGCCAAAAATATGTAAATTTGCTTGAGGTCGATAAATCACCTCTCATTCACATTATGCAAAACGTAAATGTGCCCACAAAGGAGTCTAAATTAAGACAAAATGTATATCTTTGGACTGTTTGTTTTGTTTTACCCGACGACGGATGTTTTCTCGAAACGTTGTTTTGAATTATAATCCATTTCTGGTATTATAAATAACGTGTTCCACAAGTTCTGGTAACTTGTTCCTTGTTATTATTATTACATGGCAAATGATAAAATGAAATAGTAACAAATGAAATTACAACAAATGAAAGAGTATAACATTTAAGAGCAACAGATGAAAGAGTAAAACTTGAATAAGTAAAACGTCCATTCGACACAAACAAGGTCATTTCGGGACTAACATATGGTTTAATTTTATGTCAATAATTCGCTTGAGCGTAGGGGTCTTTAGCAGTGGGAAGAAACCCGGGGGACCCGGAGAAAACCCACGAAGTTTGATAGGCAACCTTCCTGTTTAACACGTACAAGCGGGGAATCGACACCATCCCCACTTGTCTCGATAACAGACCTTATGATCCAATATGTATCTCGATGTTCCTCTGTTAGTATAAGGCGCTGAATAAAACCACAATCGCTTTTAGATAGACACTCAATTCATTCACTGTAGATTTTCTTTTTAAAGATATGCTTTGAAAGAGCACGTGTTATGTTTTCGATATATTTCTGTTTACTTAGCGAGGTCGGTCAGGTAGACTATACCCTGGGAAGTTTGACTTCTGTAATTGTATAAATATACTAAACAGCAAAATAAAACGTCAGTACGATTTCAAAATCAGAGAGGCACTTTAATCAAATCATTCTAGAAAACCAGGTATGAGGGTGCATTTTATAGGGCTAGTCCCGATGAACATCACGTGCAATTACACGAGTTACATGAAAGTCATGGAGAACACATTAGCAACTCAGAAGTCAGGTTGCGTTTTTGAGAACATTTCCTGGGTTCAATTCTGTGTTTGGGAAGGAACCTTATTGCTTAGGTAAACTAGGAGATGCGGTCACAAATGTACAATAAAAACATTTGCCAAGTTTTAAGCAATGCGTCTATTCAGAGTAGCATACCAACCTGACGTTTCTTTTGCTGCTAAGTATATAATAATGGCCACCGAAATGAAATGAAATGAAATGGGGTTTAACGTCCCACTGTTCTGCTCCTATACTGTATGGGTTAATAAAGACGGGCATACGCCATACAGTGTGCTATGAGGGAAATTTTGCCCGGGCAGCGGCACTACGGTCTACTCACCCGAAAGACTAGACAGTTGTCCTTGTCAGGCCCTCCGTTCTGCACCACTGACAAGGGGAAACCACGCCGGAAAATCTGGATGAACTTTCTCGGCCAATGCAGGGATCGAACACGTGACCTCCAGACTAGCGAGCCAGCGTCTTACCCACTTAGCCACCATGGCTCTCAATAATGGCCACCAGTTATTGCGATAATGTTTATTATTAATTACATTTTCGGTATCTCCCGTGGTATCGATCCGTTCTACTCCAAAATTTTAAATGACTGAAAATATTTTATGAAAATATACATAAAATGCTTCCCAAAATATTCTAATTAGATTCAAAGTTATTGAATTTTAAAATCCGGGATCGACATCAATATTGTAATCAGATCGGTCAGGTAGTATATTATGTCTTTCCTTGGGAAGTTTGACTCCTGTTATTGTATAAATGTTTGTCCTCCTACTGAGATAAAGAGGGTTGGGATTAGATCATAAGGTCTGTTATTGAGTCAGGTGGTGTAGGTTCGACTCCCAGCTTGTACGTGACAACGACTAGGACGGCCATTCTTACCTTCTGTTTTTTTCTCAGGGTTCCTTCAACTGCTTTAGACCCCTACAGTAGTTCTTGTCCAGTGTACATTACCCCTCGTCCCTGTACTGAAATGAAATTAAATAGGGTTTAACTTCCTACTGTTCAGCTCCGACTGGGCTAATTACAACTGCCAAGGGATCTGTTACGGGGCCTCGCTTTTTTGTCCCAGTTATCCTTGTCAGGCAGTCCATCCGGCGCTAATGAAAAGGGAAAACCAGCCATAAAATCAACGAACTTTCTCAGCCAACACAGCGTCTTACTCACTGAGCCGCCGTGACACACCCTCCCCCTTCGTTGAAATACCATCGATTGAACTGTCGAGGATTAAAATGGCTAGAATAGTTATACGTGTTTCAATATTTTCACAGCTATGTTCACGTTGCTCTTTTACGAGGGTGGACCGGATATGCAGCATTTTGTTCTTTACTGGCAATTAAAAATGAAATGGGGTTCAACGTCCTACTGGTCTGTTCCGAACTGGGCTAATGAAGACGGGCATACGCCATACAGTGTGCTGTGAGGGAAATTTTGCCCGGACAGCGGCACTAAGGCCTACTCTTATATCGAATTCCAACTGTCAAGGGATCTTTTACGCGCACGCCAATGTGTACATGGGACCTCGGTTTTTCGTCCCTCCGAACGACTAGACAACTGTCCTTGCCAGGCCCTCCATCCTGCATCACTGACAAGAGGGAACCACGCCGGAAAATCTGGATGAGAGAGAGAGAGAGAAATGGGGTTTAACGTCCACTCGACACAAACTAGGTCATTTCGGGACTAACATATGGTTTAATTTTATTTACATAATTCGCTTGCGCGTAGGGGTCTTTAGCAGTGGGAGGAAACCGGAGGACCCGGAGAAAACCCACGAGGTTGGACAGGCGACCCTACTCCTTGCCACGTACAACCGGGGATTCGAAACCACGCCAGTCGACTCAATGACAGACTGTATGATACAGCGCGCACACGCTAACCATTCAGCCATCCAACCCCCCTAAATCTTGATGAACTTCCTCGGCCAATGCAGGGATCGAACACCCGACCTCCAGTCTTGCGATCTAGCCTCTTACCCACTTAGCCACGTGATCCCCTGGTAATTAAAATGCACATTGTCGATGCCTTCGATAAACTAATAACAATTGCACCCGAAACTCCACTGATCTTGGTGTCCTAAAGATCCCAAGAGTACTGCGATGACTTCATTCTCAGTTCTCGGTCCATAGTGCGGTGGTATTTGTTAGTTCAGTTTCAATTTTATTTTCTATTTCCATGTTTAGCTACCTGTCTGGTGTATGCAATTAGAACTGGGGCGACGGCTGCCTGTACCCATGGAGCCTTTATTCCGCATGCTGATTGCAGTAAATTCTACAGATGTAACTGGGGCAGTAAGATAGAAATAGACTGTCCACCTGGATTACAGTTCAACCCAGCAGTTAGCGTTTGTGATTGGCCGGATAACGTCGAATGTACATCAGGTACCAACCCAGCCTCACCAAGTTAGTATTAATACATTACCCTTTTTAACGGCATACCTCCAGGGCCGGATTTAAATAGTAAGGCCACTTGCAGATTTTGTCAAGGTCACAAGATGTAAATAGGGTTGGGGTTAGGGCACATGATTGTTGCCGAGGGTTTGGGTAAGGGTTAAGCTTAGGGTGATACTAGCCCGGTTTACATGTCGTGACCTTGACGAAATCTGCAGGTGCCCTTAATATCTAGATCTAACCAGAGGCCCAGCTATGTGTTAGGGGACATCAAACATCAGTCAGCTGGACCGCCTGTTTTTTTTTTAACTTGAATTTATTATGACATAAGGAGAAGATAACTCGTCCTCTCTCCGTGTTGTAAAGTGAAATTAGATATACCAATGTTATTTTTTTTTATATTACGCCTTGATAATAACTAAATTAAACCAACTTGTCCATTTTGATTATTGAACCAGTTTTTGGACTTATAATCCTTTAAAGGGCGTATATCACTATTGTTTGGAATCTTAAACAGACGAAATGGGATTAAAAGCCCATTTTAATATATTATGAATGTATGTGAATTGATTTATAATCAATCTTTAAAAAAAATGTTGTAATTTTTAACCAATTACGTTCGATGAAATACGTGAACAGTTCAAAATGGACGACAATCGTTTACGTCTGCTTAGTCCATTCTACACGGAACGTTATTGTTATCATCAGGACTCAGACTAGCAATTATTTGCCCATTGACTTCAATGTTAAATGGCTGTAACATCACAGGCTGTAGCTTTTTGCTCAACATTCCGTTGCTTCCAATCTTTATAGGCACAATGGGGACAACATTTGGCAATCTCCTCATCATAATTTTGTAGGGGGTTGACCGTTTAGATTTTTGCTACGGGGTGAAAATCTCTCTTTCGACACAATGATTGCTTTGCAGAAAGACACTTTACACCCCCTATCCCTCCGCTGTAAAATCATCTGTATTACCCACAACTGCTATGAAATTGCAAATTTGATCCTTTTTCTCCAATTCTAGACCAAAAAGTCAACCCAAAAATGCAGGAAGAGAGAAGAAAAAAATTAAAGGAAAAATTGTCTATTTATAACTTGCACTACACTCATGAAATAAGGGGAAATAATTACTAGTCTTCGTCCATTTTGTGGTTATTATTTTTAATTACCCCCGCGTTGTCTTCTGGGATATGTTTTCCTTTTATCATTTCAAACAACGCTCGAAACCATCGTAGAATAAACGACTCGTGCACTGATTATAAAATGTTCATTGTGTCTTAAATATTGGATATTAGGATCACATATAATATTTTTACGGCAAGATCACAGACATCAACATTGATTGAAATGGACCAATACTAGATTCTAATTCATGTTTTTAATTTCAAATACTGAGGAAAATATTGAGTCTGAGAGGTTTAGCTCCTTTAAGAGATTGACTTTTGATCATGTTGTAATTTTAAATGAGAGAGAAATGGGGTTTAACGTCCACTGGACACAAACTAGGTCATTTCAGGACTAACACATGGTTCAATTTTATTTCTATAATTCGCTTGCGCGTAGGGATCTTTAACAGTGTGAGGCAACCGGAGGAGCCGGAGAAAACCCACGAGGCTGGACAGGCGACCCTACTCCTTGTCACGTACAATCGGTGAATCGAAACCACGCCAGTTGACTCAATGACAGACCTTATGGGGGGGGGGGGTTGGTTAGCACGCGCGCGCTGTATCATACGGTCTGTCATTGAGTCATTAGTCCCGAAATGACCTAGTTTGTGTCGAGTGGACGTTAAACCCCATTTCTCTCTCTCTCTTAGATCTTATGATACAGCACCCCGCCCCCCTAATTATAGATGTGTCGAGTTGTATATGTAAGTTTATATTTTGTGTATATTATAGACGCCTGTGATTCCAGTCCGTGTGTTAATGGTGTTTGTTATGAAAGTAGTACGACCACCAGTGGTTATACCTGTTCGTGTGCTACTGGATATACTGGTGACAGATGTCAAACAAGTAATATTATATTTAACTAGTTCAGCTCTGACCTTAGGTCTCATTACACTCGCCCTGTACGTTCAGTAACCGTCCTATTGAATCCATAGTCAATTTTACTGGGCAACTTTTTACTGCTAAACGGTGGGGTGTCAATCGGTCCCCTCACATCAAGTTGCCTTTTCGCCGCCATGACACTCTAAATATTGGTCAACGTCCATATTTAGGAATGTCGGCCATACAAGACGAAACGAAATTTAGGTAAAAATTGGAATCTTTGAAAAAAACTAGAATCTTCACTTATTTATTGCTTTGCCTAAAACTAACATTCCAGGTGTATAATGAGGGGTAAACCAATTTACTTTCATATTCAGTATTTATTGTGGGACTTGGTGACCGATAATGTTTTAACAAAATCATAGTAAAACGTACACCTTGCTTCTCTAGTTTTATTTTATTTTTAAAAAAATACATAAATAACACGGTTGTTTTTTTTTCTCTAAAAGTAATGAGACCTACGTTCAGAGCTGAACTAATATTTAACGTACTATTATTATCCGATGTGGTTCCCGCCTACTCTTATATCGAGGGTGGCTAAGTGGGTAAGACGCTGGCTCGCTAGCCTGGAGGTCGGGTGTGCGATCCCTGCATTAGCCCAGAAAGTTCATCCAGATTTTCCGACGTGGTTCTCCATTGTCAGTGAAGCAGGAAGGAAGGCCTGACAAGGACACCTGGCTAGTCGGTCGGATGGGACGAAAAACCAAGGACCCGTGTACACATTGGCGTGCACGTAAACGATCCCTTGACAGTTGGAATTCAAATTTAAGAGTAGGCCGTAATGCCGCTGTCCGGTCAAAATTTCCCTCATGGCACACTGTATGGCGTATGCCCGTCTTCATTAGCCCAGTATAGGTGCAGAATAGTAGGACGTTAAACCCCATTTCATTTCATTTCATTTATATCGAGGGATGTTTAACGTCCAACCCGAACGACTATACGTTGTTCCTTGCCTAGCCCTCGGTCCTGCACCACTGACAAAGAGGAATGAATGAAATGGGGTTTAACGTCCTACTGTTTTGCTACTAAACTGGGCTAATGAGGGAAATTTTGCCCGGGGAGCGACGCTACGGCCTACTCTTATATCAAATTCCAACTGCCAAGGGATCTTTTACGTGCACGCCAATATGTACACGAGACCTTGGTTTTTCATGCCATTCGAACGACTAGACAGCTTTCCTTGTTAGGTCCTCCGTTCTGCATCACTGACAAGGGGGAACCACGCCGGAAAATCTGGATGAACTTTCTCGGCCAATGCGGGGATCGAACACCCGACCTCCAGGCTAGCGAGCCATCGTCTTACCCACTTAGCCACGTGATCCCCTGACAAAGAGGAACCACGACAGATAATCCAGATGAATTATGACCTATGGTTGTCATTCAGTCATTGTTGTTTGTATTTTAGAGGAGAGCCGAAAAAAGCTCCCAAAAGCTCCCCCAGTTTCGATAAGAAGAGTGATTTAGAAATTAAGGAGAATGATCTGATATTAAGGAGAGTGATTACTTGTGTGTATGGGAAATGATTCTGAAGATCAATAACTGCATGTTATTCCTGGTTTGATAAATGAAAATAAACGCTCATGACTTTGTAAAGGAGAACGATTTTCAATTTTAAGGAGAGGGCAAAAACCTCCCCTCGGTCGACATTCAGGTGAGCGAGAGATGTTCGAGAGCGATCGCTCGCCTTTATAAACAGTATACAGGTCACAATTCTATGGAATACAATTACTGCTTTTTACTGAGCGACGTTTCGACTAGGCTTCTCTAGTCATCATCAAGCTATGATAAAAAATGAAAATATGACAGGACAATATATACATGTACACCACAATGCTAAGTTAATGATGACAAACCAGGGATGTAACTTAATTACGTGTACCTAATGGTAATCTGATTTAATTGTACGCTAATAAGTAATAATACCAATTAACCTAAAAAATTGACTAATTGATTAATGGATAAGTTGTTGTGGAGTATACACAATGATTAGTGGGTTTTAATAATACAAACGTTGCAAGAAAATGAAAATTGATGAAATGTTATCAACGACCCCTTTCACTGAAATAAATACAAATGGTCAATTTTTTAGGTTAATTGGTATTATTACTTATTAGTGTACAATTAAATCAGATTACCATTAGGTACACGTAATTAAGTTACATCCCTGGTTTGTCATCATTAACTTAGCATTGTGGTGTACATGTATATATTGTCCTGTCATATTTTCATTTTTTATCATAGCTTGATGATGACTAGAGAAGCCTAGTCGAAACGTCGCTCAGTAAAAAGCAGTAATTGTATTCCATAGAATTGTGACCTGTATACTCTAGTTCAATTACTAAATGCCATTGAAACAGTTTATAAACAGTAACTGATAAAGACGAGAAACCCTTGGTTGAACGTCGACAGATAATTTCTATTTCATATAATTGTTGTGTTATGTTATTGGTTATGATTTTATTTTAATTTTAGCTGCAGATGATAAGTGTGCAAGTAACCCATGTGTACGAGGAACTTGTTATAGCGGTACCTTTACCTTTACCTGTACCTGTCCTGTCAACTATGGTGGCGATAGATGTCAATATTACGGTAAGTCTACCTGGTCTCTCACCTGTTCTGGGGTGGGGGCCGAATGGTTAGCACGCACGCGCTGTATCATAAGGACTGTCATTGAGTCAACTGGCGTGGTTTCGATTCCCCTGATGCACGTGACAAGGAGTAGGATCGCCTGTCCAACCTCGTGGGTTTTCTCCGGGTCCTCCGGTTTCTCCCACTGCTAAAGACCCCTACGTACACGAATTATGGAAATAGAATTGAACCATTAGTCCCGAAATGACCTAGTTTGTGTCGATTGGACGTTAAACCCCATCTATCTCTCACCCTCTCTCTCTCTATCTCTCTCTCTCTCTCTTTGATCTGTTCTATAGTCAGTCACTCCGCCAGTGGTGTTTAACGTCCGCTTCGACCTAGGGTATTATCGCAGACAAGTGTTTCCTGCGAGAGGAATTAAACAAATGACTGTTCTTGTTGTTGATCTAGTGTTTAACGTCCGCTTCCGCCGAGGGTCATATCGCAGACAAGTCTTATTTTCATTTTTATTATCTTAGCGCATGTGCAGGAGAGTAAAACCACCAGGTAGAGGTAGCCCGTCTCTCCAAGACAACGACCGAAAATCAGGTAGACACTCTAGACCACTAGGCCCTTATTAGGAAAACTTGCGTCGTTCGATGCGTGTGTAAAATTTTCAGTGCAAAGTTGTTCTTGTTTGAAGAAAATCGGATAAACTCGAAAGAAAAACAGCTCCAAACTTTGAAATATTTGTATGATAAAACATTCTTCAAAGCCGTCGTCATGGACAACGCCGTTGGTAATCCGGGAACTTGAAAGTTGTTCCAATGACGGACTTTGTCACACAGCCGAGGCTGGATGTAGGGTACTGGAATCTGCTGAGGTTTGCCGAGTGACTTTTTGTCATTGAGGCAAGTCACGTGGTTTTCATTCCCAGCTCGTATATGGCCAAAAGTAGGTTCGCATGTCCAGCCCAGTTGGTTTTCTCCGGTTAACATTCTTTCTCAAAATAAAATATCGATAATTATTTGGCTTTTTTTTGTTTTATTTCAGTGGGTTCCACTTACTGTAACCCGAACCCCTGTCAGAACTCTGGTCAGTGCACGGAATCAACGTCCAACAGTAACGGGTTTATTTGTTCCTGTGTAGGCTCTTATACTGGAACTAGGTGTGAGACACCCAGTGAGTAGTTCTCAATTATATTTCAGGAAACGTATTGGGGGGGGGGGGCAGATCTATTTATTAAGGTCACCTGCATATTAATCCAAGGCCACGAGATGTAAACAGTGTTAGGTCACTTGATTGTTGCCGAGGATTGTTGGTTAGGTTAAAGCTTAGGACTAGGCCTTGGGTTAGGGTTAACGCTAGCCCTGTTCACATCTCGTGACCTTGAGGAAATCTGCAGGTGCCCTTGGTAAATGGATCTGACTAGTCTGTGTCTACGGTTATATGCCGTCTGACTTACCATGTTTTTATTTTGTAAAATTCAAATATTTTTCATACATATTTAGCCAGGTGTGCTGCAATCGTTTCATGTGTTCCAAAGTGTGCCGATGGCAAAAAAAGGTTGAGAACCACTGGTCTAGAAATGAAGAGTCCAGGGGGAGAACGATCTAAGTCACATTTTTATCTTTTCGCATAAAAGGGCAAAACAGAATTTTGGACGAGAATGCTTGACAGAACAGAACAATGAGTAATTTTAAATACAACTTCATAATGATGTTTAATACGAATCATAATTACCAATACAACTGACTTCAACTTCAGTCAAATTAAGGTCAAATAAATACGATGGACTTGTACATGTATTTGTCCGGGAGGCCATTTCAGAAGGGCCTTGGTTCGATATGACTCCGATCGTTTTTACCTGAAATTGATTGTTCCACAGTAAGCTTATACAATTTGCTACCAGACGGCGCCATTAACTGGGGTTCATTGAAAAAGTGACTTAGATCGTTCTTCCTCGGGACTCTTCAAATACTGGTCCACGATCGCCACGAATCACTTGTTGTTTTATCATTATTTGTTTGTATTAAACAGGTTCAGGGAATACAGAAGTACTCTGTGCTTCAAATCTTCCTGGCACTAACTGTTTAAATGGCGGAGCTTGTGCTTGGTATTACGGGTACTACTGCTCCTGTTTATCATCATACACAGGCCCAAGATGTGAAACACGTAAGTGCAGTTATCTCCCCTGTACACTCTTTATCGTGATAGTTGCTATCAATCCTTTTCACAGAGGATTACGAAAGTCGTCTAATATCTCTGTAAAAGATGACTACCTTCAACACGGCGTCAATCATTGGCTCAATGGCGCTTGCATTGTTTACATAAGATGTTACTGTTTCGGGCGGAATGGTGCCTTTTACTCATGTTAATACCCATTTACACTAAATAGGAAATAATTTTTTACCTACAAATACTTCAAACACCTTTCTTTATTTTTTTAATACATAAAAAATTGTTTTAAAATTAATTTGTCGGAGGAAAAAAGTTAATATTTTTGGCTCATTAAGTCGCATCGATGTCATTCTCTTCAGTGATTGTAGCGGCCTAGCAAATATTCACTGCTGATTATTCTGATGTCATCAGTGATTGTAGCGGCCTAGCGAATATTCACTGCTGATCAGTATGCCTATACTCATATCTTAAAGGACAATATTGTTGTCCACAAAGTTTACATGAAATGAAATGGGGTTTAATGAAAGATTTTAAATCCATAACCTGCATTACGATTCAATGAGTTGGTGATAAATTTTGGAAACCTTATACTTTCTATTGTATATAATCTAAAAGTCTAAGCCCTTCTTTTGTTGTAGAAAAAAGTGACCTTTAAGTATATGAAATTGGTTTTAATGTCCACCCCCTTAACCCCACTCGTACTAATAACGACTGTGGACCTTTATGTATTTGTTTTACAGCTATAGGAGGTACAAATGCTGTTTGTAAAAAGTTGGGCCTTTAAAGTTGCAATTTCATATTTTTAAGTTATATTTTTAAAATTAATCAAAATAAAGCCTTAAAATAGATGGTATCTTTAAACAGTCCTACCTTGTTAAAGAATAATCCTATTAATCCTATAATTCACTATTGCCAGTTGAGAAATTGGGAAAAATATCATTTTTATCTTCAAATTTAAACGTTTGAAATTAGCTACTCCATGGTGGAGAATAGAAAACAAGGGAGGTAATTAGGAGGTAATTGTGTTATTATTTCCGGTGTAAATGAGTTTTAAGTGTGAGAATGACACCTATGATCGTATAATAGTGAGTTGACAACCTATTGAGCAAAAGACATAGAAATAATTATGTTTTGACTTTCTTAGAAAATATAAAATTGCAACTTTAAGTAAATGAAATAGAGTTTATTTAACGTCCTACCTTTCTGCCCTTCCGAGCTAATTACGACGACTGAGGGCCTTTATGTATTTATTCTATATGTATGACGGAGGGGCTGACAAGGACAGCTGTCTAGTCGTTCGAAATGGAAGAAAAACCGAGGTCCCGTGTACACATTGGCGTGCACGTAAAAGATCTCTTGGCAGTTGGAATTCGATATAAGAGTAGGCCGTAGTGCCGCTGTCCGGGCAAAATTCCCCTCATAGCACACTGTATGGCGTATGCCCGTCTTCATTAGCCCAGGTTAGGAGCAGAACAGTAGGACGTTAAACCCCATTTCATTTCATTTCATTTCTATATGTATTTTTTACAGCTGTAGGAACTACAAATGCTGTTTGTAACTCCAACCCCTGTGTAAATGGAGGAGTATGTTCGCCATCAACATCCGGTTATACCTGCGCATGTCCTAGTAATTACCTTGGTAACAACTGTGAAACTTACAGTAAGTAAAACATTTCAGAGGTTTTCCAATCAATTTGTATTTTATTAGACATTTGGACGTCATGTCTCATTGACAATTATTCTAGATGATATATATAAAGGTCACCAGAAAAGCTTCATTTTTTAAATAGTGCAATTGATTACATAGGCGTAGGAGCTCAAAGTAATTCAGGGGGGCATCAGAGAAGATTGCCCGAAATCAATACCGTTTTTTCGGGCAAACATATCATAAGAGAGCTTCGGGCATATTTTCGGGCATGCAGTGGACAAGAAAAAGACGAGAAAATACTTTTCGGGCAGTGAGGATCTCATAGAAATAAGTTAGTTATATTTTTGTCTCTAAAAGTTAATAGAAAAAAAGGTCGTCGAATTTTTCATTGCCCCCCCCCCCCGGCTCCTACGCCTATGATTGATTATGTAAACATATCTTTTCCATGAGTATATTACCTGCAACAGGCAAATTTCAACGCTAGTAATTTCCTCCGTTCTCCGTGAGTAGTCGTAAATTTCCATTAATAAACATTCCGTGACGACATTGTAGTACTTCTGCTCATATTCTAGTCTATATTTCAAAAGACAATTTATAATATATTACACATTACTCTCATAGTACATCTAATAGGAGTGTATATTATATTATATCATATTTTGTTGTATTAGCACACCGTATAATCAACGTAGCACACCGTGTAATAATAGGGGGGTAAATATATAATATATTATTGTAGTAGCACACCGTGTAATAATGGGGGTGTGATATATTATAGATTATTGTAGTAGCACACCGTGTAATAATAGGGGTGTAATATATTATAGATTGTTGTAGTAGCACACCGTGTAATAATGGGGGTAAATATACTATAGATTATTGTAGTAGCACACCGTGTAATAATAGGGAATATAATATATTATTGTAGTAGCACACCGTGTAATAATAGGGGGTATAATATATTATTGTTGTAGCACACCGTGTAATAATAGGGGGTATAATATATAATATATCATTGTAGTAGCACACCGTGTAATAATAATAGGGGTGTAATATATTATAGATTATTGTAGTAGCACACCGTGTAATAATGGGGGTGTATGCTATAATGAAGTCTCCAACTATAGATGTGCTTGTCCTGATAATTACTCTGGACAAAGATGTGATACGTACAGTAAGTACATATAAACATGGTGTATATACCATAGAAACGTAGTATATATTTCATATATATATACCATAGAAACGTAGTATATACCATAGAAGCATAGTGTATATCATAGAAACGTAGTATATATTTCATATATATATACCATAGAAACGTAGTATATATACCATAGAAGCATAGTGTATATATACCATAGAAACATAGTATATATATCATAGTACATATAGTATAGAAGCATAGTATATATTTCATAGTATATATACCATATTTTATAGTACATCTACCATACAAGAAACATAGTATAAATACAACAAAGTATATATTCCATAGGAACATGGTATATATTCCATAGAAACAATATTCCATAGTACATAGTATATATCCCATAGAAACATAAGATATATTTCATAGAAACATAGTATATATTCCATAGAAACTTAGTATATACCATAGAAGCATAGTATATATGTCATAGTATATATAGTTTATACCGCAGTAACATAGTATATATTCCATAGTATATACCATAGAAACATAGCATATATTTATTTATCTTTTTAAAATTGTTTATATACAAAAGCAAAACAGTGACGGATCCCGGCGTGGTACCTGGGAGCCCTGCCCCACCCCCTTAAATAACATTATAAAAAATCACTTCATTGACTATACTATGCATAGTAGGAGTTTTTTTATGTACCCGATGGAACTGATTGTAATATTCGGTCGTCAAGATATATGCCACAAATCACCAATGAAACTCCGAATTTTCAAAATTGTCTCGGACGGGTGGTGGAGAAAGACACGCCCTCATCTCCCCTGCACCCTCCTCCACTCACTAACTACACAGCCTGCGCACGGCACTGATAGCTGTGGATTTGAAAATCTTATATTTACCTGAAAAGTGGATAAACGTATCATTCTAGACATTGTTATTATGCAATAGTCACCTGTTGTTGTGAATTTAAGGCTAGCAAGTGCGCGCTATTTCAAATTGTCTGTCATTGAGACAACTGGCGTGGTTCCGAGTAGGGTCGTCTGTCCAACCTCGTGGGTTTTCTCCGGGTCCTCCGGTTTCCTCCCACTGCTAAAGACCCCTACGAGCAAGTGAAGTATTGAAATAAAACTGAACCATATGTATGTTAGTCCCGAAATGACCTAGTTTGTGTCGAGTTGACGTCAAATCTCTCTCTCTCTCTCTCTCTCTCTCTCTCTCTCTCTCTCTCTCCATGTTAATGGTTATTAGAACTTGTTGCCATACTGTTTTATATGTTACAGTATTACTCTCTATCAGGTTCTGGATGACAAGACTAGTTTAGCATCTTATAATACTTTTTTCTTCTTCTAACATAATATATACAAAACTTAAGACTTCGTAATTAGCTTGTGTTGGGGGAGCCATGGCCCTAGCTCGGCTAGGCACGAATTTGCCAACTCCCAACTAACTTACATTACATGGCCGTTGTCCGGTCTTAACTCCAGACCTGCGTGGCCTGTCCTGGCCGGACCTCTCCCTCGATTCGTTTGTTCTCTGGGCTTATAAACCCTTCCAGACAAAGGAATCGTATTAGACATCTGGCTGATGTATCATGTATCATATCAGGTTTAACATTTGCTTATCAAAAAAGAAAGTTTAAATAAGACATGCCAACAAGGTAAGGGTAACTAATCATTACATAATCACATAGACCAAGAACTCCAGGGATGTCGATAGCGAACAGGTGTCAAGTTGGCAGGAAGCGTCTATAACATCAGATAATCTGTGATTATGTAACAATACGGAATATTATTATATTTATTATGTATTGTTTCCAGCAGGTACAACTGATCCGTGTGCAACCCAACCATGTCAAAATAACGGTATTTGTGTAAGAGATGCCGCAACTAGCTCGACTTATACCTGTGCATGCCAACTCAACTATTCCGGCAATCTCTGTCAATTTTTCAGTAAGTTGATATAAATATTCTAACTACCTATTTTCGCTTATTTATCATCGGCATCATAGTCATCCCTTTAATTTGAATAAAGCACAGATCCTATTTTCGCTTATTTATCATCGGCATCATAGTCATCCCTTTAATTTGAATAAAGCACAGATCCTATTTTCGCTTATTTATCATCGGCATCATAGTCATCCCTTTAATTTGAATAAAGCACAGATCCTATTTTCGCTTATTTATCATCGGCATCATAGTCATCCCTTTAATTTGAATAAAGCACAGATCCTATTTTCGCTTATTTATCATCGGCATCATAGTCATCCCTTTAATTTGAATAAAGCACAGATCCTATTTCGTTTCGTTCAAAAGTTCGGTTTACTTGTCTTTACTGCGCTAGGATCTGGAAGAGTTGTTATATAACCCGCGTTCTGGATGATGTGAGGGATTAGCCAATGAAACGCTCTGTTACGGCGAGCTTTTGACGTGAGTTGCACGGAACTGGGGTTAACCCACTAGAAAAATAAACGCCGATTGTTAATCAAATGTCTGATATCATAAAGTCAAAAGCGGCTCGTATGACCTTTGACGCGGCCTCTCACTACAACTGGTCAGATCTTCATGTAGTAGATGTCATCGAAAGTATAAAAAACAAAACGAAATATAGATCTGTATTTTAATCAGATTGTCATGTTCTTTAAAGATACATTCCCGCGTACAAACTGGGTGATTTAATGGTATATATGGACCAAAACATATTCAAACTAATTAATTTGTCATAATTATGCTTCAAATCCTTCTCAAACATTGTAATTGCGAAGGAATGACCTGCTATAAAAATTCAATCAAACCAGGTCATGTTTACGTCACGTCATGGAAGTCAGAGGAGAATTCATTGCATACATAAGACGATGTTGTCTTTAATCGCTTACTATTTATTACAAATATCGAATCCTAATTAAATTCTCGGATTATCCACTACCCGCGTCTTTTTCCGTCATTTTTATCTCAGAAAGTATTGTACGTCTAACTCTTCATAGCGTTTATCAACTTGTACATCAAACGCTCAATGTTCGGTTTTGACCTTTGACATCACGCGTGCAGAAGTTCCTAATCGTCGGGCTGTTGATTAGGGGAACCCTTACATTTTTGTTCTGTATACGCTCCATGAATGTTTTTCGGGGAATCCAGTATTTTTCTAGTAAGATTGGATATCTCTACTTTCCATATATACCAAAATTGCCATACTTTTATTGGAAATAGCCACCCGATAAATACTTTTAGGGGGACCCATCTTTAAGCGCGTGCCACGCAGGGATTGATAACCTTTGGACCAGTGACTTTTATTTCATAAGGAGTATTGATGTATATACATGTATTATTTCCAGCAGGCCCAACTGATCCGTGTGTATCCGAACCATGTCAAAATAACGGTATTTGTGTAAGAGATGCCACAACTAGCTCGACATATACTTGTACATGCCAACTCAACTATTCCGGCGATCTTTGTCAATTTTACAGTAAGTTGACAAATAAAAAGGTCATTTCTAACTGCACAATCTCGCGTAGTATCGACACAATACTAATATATATTGTTTTTAATTACTAAAACAACAGAACATATTTAAATAATAATAATATATATTTCTTGTTATATGTATTACATAATAAAGAAAAAACTAATTAGAAAGAAAAAACTAATTTTATCTTAGCCAGCGCTTTCACCCACTACGGGTTTCATCAGGCGTTATTAATACATATATGTACATGACAATAATAATATCAAATATAAATATTTTACAATATCAAATACCAATATAAAATTATCCAGCATTTATATATATATATATATGTTAATTATTATACATATATAATAGTTAACATAAAACTAATATGATATTATTTAACATAAAACTAATATGATATACTAGCAGGATACCCGGCTTCGCTCCGAAACCGGAAGTGGTAGACTAACGCCACCAGGTCTATGTTACTTCTATACCCCAAATTTCAGACTCGGGCAGACCTAGTGTAGCCGCCAACCCCGAGCAGACAGACTTCGCTCGGGGGTCATAACACCGAAACCGGAAATGGTAGACTAACGCCACCTGGCCTATGTTACTCCCCGGTACGGGCTACCCCTATACCCCAAATTTCAGACTCGGGGCAGACCTAGTGTAGCCGCCAAACCCGAACAGACCGGCTTCACTCGGGGGTCATAAATCCGAAATCGGAAGTGGTACACTAACGCCACCTGGCCTATGTTACTCCCCGGTCCGAGCTACCCCTATACCCCAAATTTCAGACTCGGGGCAGATCTAGTGTAGCCGCCGACCCCGAACAGACAGACAGACCGACAGACCGACAGACAGACAAACGACAGTCACAAATATATATATAGATAGATACCATTTTACATTAAATTACTATGACATATAACTTTTAACTTTAACATAAAACTTAGATGATAATATTTAATACAAATCTAATATGATATATTAATATTTAACATATAGCTATTATTTAACATAAAACTAATATCAAATATATTATTTAACATAAAACTAATATCAAATATATTATTTAACATAAAACTAATATCAAATATATTATTTAACATAAAACTAATATCAAATATACTATTTAACATAAAACTAATATGATATATAAAACTAAAATGATATATAAAATTTAACATAAAACTAATATGATAATAATTATTTAACATAAATTAATTTATGTATTATTCAAATCTAGGTCATTGTATTTATTTTATCATATATGTGTTAATATTATAATAATCAGTAGTTGACTTGGTGAATTATATTTTGTTTAAGATCCTACTAATCCTTGTGCTACAAGTCCCTGTGGAGTGGGCGGTAGTTGTGTACAGATTATTGGTTCGATCTATAGATGTGATTGTTTAGCTTTTTATTCTGGTGAAAGATGTGAAATATACAGTTAGTACAATGAACGACAATGTATTCAAGTTATCTCCCTTAATATCATTAGTTATCTCCCTTTATTACAGTTATCTACCATTATAGCATTATAGTTAAAATATTCAAGCTGTCTCCCTTAATATCGCTCGCTTTTTCACAGTTATTCACCTTTATAGTTATTATATTAAGGTTGTCTCCCTTCTTTACAGTTATTTACCTTTATTGTTATTATAGTTAGGTTGTTTCTCTTAGTTTCACTAGTTATCTCCCTTTTACTGTTCGCTACCATTATACTTAGATTATCTCCCTTACTATTACTAGTTATCCCCCTTTTTTTTACAGTTAACTCCCTTTGTAGGTATTGCATTCAAAAAGATACCTCGCTTTATATAACCTCGCTGTATATAATTACATTTAAAACCAATAAATGTATATGACCGTGTATATTCTCTTATATCAACCTCTTTATACATATTATTGAAATTATCGCCCCTTGTATCGTAATTATATCCTTTATACATCCTTTATCTTCCACAGAAAGTTATTTACAAATAATTTAGGTCATGCTCGATTGCCAGCCTTGAACATCAGAAAGTGACAGAACTGCAAAATATAGTGACAATCGAGTGAAAAGGAAGATTTGGGACTGTAAAGAAAATAACAGAACTGAATTTCGCGTCACTCGATTGCAATTCGATCCACTCCTGACGTTCAGGACTGCCAATCGAGCACCCCATCGTTAATGAGTAATTAACTCTGTATCGTACAGATGGCATGTTTTTATTTGTCTGCGATATCACTTCGGTAGAAGCGGATTTAAAAAAAGCCATTTCACACACAATGTTTATTTTACAGTTGAAATAAATGTATTAATGTTACCAACATTTATAGAGGGTAGGGCTCCAATTCTAACAACAACAACTGAAGGGCAAGACCCTACTTCTAACAACAACAACTGAAAGGCAGAGCCCAAACTCTACTAACAACAACTGAAGGGCAGGGTCCTAATTCTACTGAAGGACAGTGGTCAGACAGGGGCCTATATATACTAACAACAACAGGAAAACATGGCCCTAATTCTAATAACAATTAGACGACTCTACGTCTACTAACAACGGCTGAGGAATTGGGCCTTACTTCTGCTAACAACTGGGGAGTTAGGACTGATTCTACTAACAACTGGATAACGGGGTCTGATTCCACTTACAACTGGATAACAGGGCCTGATTCTACTAACAACTGGATGACAGGGTCTGATTCTACTAACAACTGGATAACACGATCCTGACGCTACTAACAACAATGCCTGGTGGCAGGGCCCGGTGATATTAAGATAAAAAGCACATTGTCTCTTAAGGTATATTATTGATGAACTGGATTCAGGAATCTTATAGTAATTGTTTATATTTCAGCTCCCGCCAATCCATGTGAATCCAACCCCTGTGGCACAGGAGGAAGTTGTCTACAGACAACTGGTGGAAATTTCCAGTGTCAATGTTTCTCCGCTTATTCTGGTGAAAGATGTGAAACATACAGTAAGTTACCACAAATAGAACATAGCCACGCGCATTACGGGGTACTTACTCTCTACTATTGAAAACAAGATCCGGTCGTGATGAAAACCTCTTGAAGGTGCGCGATTGTGAGTTAAGAAGGTTTCGATTGCAACCGAGTGTCACGATACCACCATTTCCCCAAAACGATAACTTACAAAGCATGTCTAAAGCTTTCTGAGCCCGGCGTTTATAGCTTAATAGCCTTCTGGAAGACAGATGGGGGGATTGGGATGGCAGAGTGGTCTAGAGTGTCGGGCTTCGAACTCTAGCTGGCCGGTCACCTCTGACTTTAGGTCGTGGTTTCGACCCCTTTGTATGTGTCTTGAAGATACGGGCGCCTTTTCAATCTCGTGGGTTTACTCCGTGTACTCCGGTTTCCTCCAACAGCAAAGACCCTTGTGCGTATGCTAAGCATAATAAGATATGGCAACTTGACTGCGATATCACCATCGGTAGAAGTGGACGTTACACATTTATTGAAGGAGGAATGCCGGTAGCTAGCTTGGGCAATCTGGTTAAAACACAGATCCTATTTCGTTTCGTTTTTATAGTTCAAAATTTCCTTTTACTTGTCTTTACTACACTTGGATCTGGAAGCGTTGTTATTTAACTCGTGTTCTGCTTGAAATGAGGGGTCAGCCAATCAAATGGTCTGTCGAATTGAGCGTTTGACCTTTTTTGCGTGGAACTGTGGGTAGACATTAGCGGCAATAGAAATCAAAACAAAGCAAAAGTAGATAAAAAATACATGGCGGTCGCTAATTGGTTAATCGAATGACTGACGTAATCGAGTCAAATGTCGCTTGCTTGGTACCTGACGTCATCGAACGTGAACTCCCACTATAACTTGTTAGATCTACATGTAGTGTAGGCCATCGAAAGTATAAAAAACGAAACGAAATATAGATCTATATTTTAATTAGATTGCTAGCTTGGGTATTTGTCCCACTTTTGAGTTAAAACGACAAATGTAGGCTGACTGAACGATCGCTGTCGTTTTTAAATCTGTTTAACATAAGAGACTGGACAATCTGATTCAAACACAGATCCTATTTCGTTTTTGGTTTTTCGAGTTCAAAATGTCGTTTTCCTTGGGTTTACTACACTAGGACTGGAAGAGTTGTTATATAACTCGCGTTCTGGATGATGTGAGGGATTAGTCAATGGTCTGTTACGGCGAGGCTTTGGCGTGAGGTGCACGGCACTGTTGGTAAGCCACAAGAAACATCAACGCTGATTGCTTAATCATATGTCTGCCGTCAAAGGGCCAAAAGTCGCTCGTATGACCTCTGACGCGACCTTCCACTACAACCGGCCAGATCTTCATGAAGTAGAGGCCATCGAAAGTATAAAAAAAAAAACGAAAGGAAATATAGATCTGTATTTTAATCAGATTGGAGACTGAACGGCATATTTGACAGAGAATGACTTCCGGGAAGTTGGTGTGATTCATGGTGCACTGTATTCAATTCGTCCATATAGTACTAGTCAGTGTACGGGGTTGCTATAGTTCTGATATCATACCCTTTACTCAAATGATGTTCTACCATTTCAATTAGAACTGCTTGCTTTCTTATATTTTAATATCGATGGTATGGTGTTTTGATATCTTTGCTAATTAAAGATACATTATGCAAGAGCTAAATCTGCCAATTGTAGGTCTTTCCTTAGGTCTGAAATGTTATCTAAATTATTAATTAGACATTAATTAACTTATCCAGGCCATTATCAACTCTTGATGACATCGCCAGCCTGCGATATTTACAAAATTACAATCCAATCTGCTGCTCAACGCTCATTCATGATTAAATCAAAAAATGGATTTTATCGGACCGACTTTAGTAATGTTTTTCGAGGCTAGGCCAGAAATTCAATCGCTAAATTCTCGGTTCAGAGTGGATCAATTTGACTGAAAATTTTCAGCAAATTCTCTTTCCATCATCTAGTTTTCAACTATACTATTCAAAAAAAGTAGGGGATATTTGATTTTTAAGTGTTATTAAAGTCACCTAATGAAACTGACGAAGAAACAAATGACAAAATGAAATGAAGTTCACATTCATCGATTTATTCCAAATGATCGTTAGACTAAGTAAGGCACAGACTGACCATTATAAGGGTAAAATGATACCCGGGGTCAAACAGCAAAGTTACCACAGCATCACAACCAAGTCAGTAACGGGTAAATCCTCCTCTGTTTGCCAAACAAGCATTGATCCGACGTGGCATACTCCTAATGAGACGTCTAAGGTCATTTTGGTCCAGATTGTCCCATTCCTGTTGCAACGCAGCAGCAAGTTCTTGGACATTGGCAGGACGTTGTTGACGTTGACGTAACCTCTGTCCAAGCATGTCCCAGACATGCTCGATGGGGGAGAGGTCGGGACTCAGTGCTGGCCATGGTAATGTGGTGATGTTCTGTTGTTGGAGGTAACCTGTAACGATCCTGGCCCTGTGACATCTTGCGTTGTCATCCTGGAAGATGAAACGGCGGCCATGACGTCGTTCGAACGGCACAACATGGACTGCCAAGATGTTGTCCCGGTAGTACTAGCCTGTAACACGCCCTGCAACAACATGTAAAGCCGTTCTTCCAGCAACAGTGATGCCTCCCCACACCATAACAGAACCACCCCCAAATCGATCATGTCTGATGTCGTTAACGTCTTGGAAGCGCTCGTTTCGACGACGCCGCACCCTCCTACGTCTGTCCAAAAAATCAACAGTGAACCTTGACTCATCTGAAAACATCACATTGCTCCAGCGTCGATTATCCCAGTGTTGACGATCCCTACACCAACGACGTCTTGCCTGAATGTGATGATCTCTCAAACAAGGGATCACGCGAGGACGTCGGGCGCGAAGGTGACCCCTATGCAGTCGATTCCGAATCGTCTGGCCACTCACTCTCACACCAGTGTCTGTTTGAAGACGAGCGCTGATCTGATTTGCTGTGATGACACGATTTCTCAAGGCCAAGGTACGGATAAATCGATCCTGGGCTTGAGTTGTCGCCCTTGGTCGACCTGAGCGTGGTCTGTCCTGTACAGATTGTGTATCACGGTATCTGGACCATAGCCTGCTTATGAAAGACTGAGAAACATTCATCGTCCGCGCCACAACCGCCTGTGTTGTGCCGATCTGTAGCATGCCAAGGGCACGTAACCTTTCATTTTGGGTAAGCCGACGCATATCAAAATTTGTTTTCTGGTCACTAAAACAATTAAACTGATGTTTCCACCCTGGAATTCAATGCCACAATGACTGTAACATTCAAAGTCAGAGTCGTGCAAATCTTGGGTTGGACCCCCATGATGATCCCAAGCATCACCTGCATTCCATGCGGTAGCTATTGGTGCGTTTGGGCGTCACATGTAACTGGAAATGTTTCTTCTGTTAGGTTCTATAGTGACTTTTTTCGTAGTCATTTGCATATTTTAGTATTATGCCCCCAAAATCAAATATCCCCTACTTTTTTTGAATAGTATATTATAGTGAGAACGAACTGTCAGCTCCTTATCTAATCTTCCATGATGTATCTTGGTTCAGAATGGACTAATTTGACTGAAATGTTCATCAAATTGCTTTTCCATTATCTAGTTTTCAACTATTATAGTGAGAACGAACTGCCAGCTCTTTATCTAATCTCCCATAATGTATGTTTAATGTTTTGGTTTATTTAATATTACTAAACATTTGCTAAAATTAATAACAAGGCAATCTAATTCAAATACAAATCTATATTTCGTTTCGTTTTTTTATACTTTCGATGGCCTACACTATATATAGTAAAGACAAGTAAAACGAACTTTTGAACTATAAAAACGAAACGAAATAGGGTCTGTGTTTTTATCAGATGGATAACAAGGGTATTACTGTATTAATGTTTGTATATATTGTATGTAAACAAGGGTATTACTGTATCAATGTTTGTATATATTGTATGTAAACAAGGGTATTACTGTATTAATGTTTGTATATATTGTGGGACTAACAACTTACACTTTCTCTAAAGCTAACCCATGCGATAGTAATCCTTGTGGTATTGGAGGTGCCAGCTGTACTCCTACTGGATCTAGTTTCTTCTGTTCTTGTAAAGAAGGTTATTCTGGTTTCCGTTGTGAATTCGGTGAGTTACACAGGGACTTTATTCATTTTACCTACTGACGATTCCAATACACAGGGACCCTATTTATTATATACATAATATAACAGACATGGGTCTTATTCATAAACCGCAGGGTTCTTATTTATTAACAACTACAATACACAGTGACCTTTTTTATTATATACATGAACCGCTATAAGAGACATGGGCCATAATCATTCACCACAAATACAATGCACAGGGGCGTTATTCATTAACAACTACATTACAAAGGGACCTTATTCATTATATCCAGTTAAATTAGATGTTGGCGTACTATTATTTCAAATTATCGTACGGGCAATTTGCGAATCGTACATTATTTATACTAGTGAAATATTGGACTGGCGTTTCGCATTTCACTGTAAAAGCACATGCGGGGTGTCTGTATTTTAAGTTCTTTAAAGGAGCTAAATCGCTAATATTTTGGACCTAGAAATTGGCACAAATGGGTCGCAACGCATATAATAATGTAATATGAATTTATATAAACTGTTTTACATTCAATCGTGTCCGTTTTACTGTGAATTGTCATCAGTTATGTTCGGCGAAATACGCCAGAAGTCTCAACCGCAAGTCAGTTTCTAGCGTCTGGTTATTCCAGTCAACACCGATATTATTTATTGCGCATGCTCTCCAAATAAGAACATGATATCACCGTTTGGCATGACTTGTGGAATATGTCTAGCCTCATTCTTTGAGCACCTTGTTACAAATGGCACTGAAACGCATTATGGTACAGGATTCGTGTACCAATGGTAAAATGTTTATTTTGTCTTAAATATTGGATATCAGAAGCCCATCTTTTCCAGGTAAGATCACAGCACCAATGCTGATTTAAATTGCAAAAAAAATCGTGTTTTCAATGTCGAAGATTTTGGATGATATTGAGTTACGGACTTAGCTACTTTAATGGTCTCGAGCTTAAGACATTGCGTAATATATTAAAACAACACTCGGGCCTCACGGCCCTCTTGTTGTTACAATATATTACTTAATGTCTCGCTCTCGACCATTAAACAATGCTTACAATACACGGGGCATTATTCACTATACACATTAACAACTACAATACACAGGGACCTTATTCACAATATTCACGAACAATTGTATTACACAGGGCCATTATTCACGGACATCTACAAAACACTTCGACCTTATTCGTTATGCACATTAACAACCGGTTAATGCACAGGGACTTTATTGGTGTAAACTTAAACTAATATATATTTTAAGAATACTCCTTGGTCATTGGCTAAGCACTAACATCATAGCAGGTATTTAGCTAGTACTAAAGGGCCACGGGTTAAAGAGCACAATACTTATCTTTACCGGTCCGGCAATGACAACTATCACTGCGCCACTGGACTATTGCGCATGTGATGTAATGGGACAATCCGGATACAGGCACTAAAATGTACATGGGTTTCTCTTTAGTGTCATATATTAAAACAACCCGTTTCGATTGGCTATTGTTTTGTTTTTCAATAGAGTAGTCTTGATCGAAGGAATATTATTTGTGCCAATTTTGATACTTGATTCCGGTACTATTCATTGTTTCAATGGCATTTAGTAATTGAACTGGAATATACAGGTCACAATTCTATAGAATACAATTACTGCTTATACCTCATTGTTTGAGGTGGGAGGTAGATGGCCGAATGGTGAGCACGTGCGCGCTGTATCATGAGGCCTGTCATTTAGTCAACTGGCATGGTTTCGAATCCCGGTTGTACGTGACAAGGAGTTGGGTCGCCTGTCCAACCTCGTGGGTTTTCTCCGGGTCCTCCGGTTTCATCCCACTGCTAAAGACCCCTACGCGCAAGCGAATTATTGAAATAAAATTAAACAATATGTTAGTCCCGAAATGACCTAGTTTGTGTCGAGTGGACTCTCTCTCTCTCTCTCTCTCTCTCATTGCTTGATAATGACTAGAGAAGCCTAGTGGAAACGTCGCTCAGAAACAGTAATTGTATACCACAGAATCATGACCTGTTTGTCCCTTACTAGTATCCACATATGAATGATTTCCCTGTTTATATGCAGATGGCTGGGAGATCTGTGGCAGGGGATATTTATTGATATAGTTGTATTTATATTGTCGTGGGAGTGGCGAACTAGGTAAGACGCTGGCTCGCTAGTCTGGAGGTCGTGGGTTCGATTCCTGCCTTGGCCGAGAAAGTTCATCGGGACATGGTTTACCCTTGTCAGTGGTGCAGGACGGAGGGCCTGACAAGGACAGTTGTCTAGTCGTTTGGATGGGACGAAAAACCAAGGTCCCGTGTATACATTGGCATGCATGTAAAAGATCCCTTGACAGTTGGAATTCGATATAAGAGTAAGCCATAGTGCTGTTGCCCGGCCAAACATTTCCCTCAGAGCACACTGTATGGCGTATGCTCGTCTTCATTAGCCCAGTCCGGAGCAGAACAGTAGGATGTTAAACCCCATATCATTTATATTGTTGTATTTTTTGTTTTTGTAGAAAATTTCTGTGCTGGTAAAACGTGTAGTAATAATGGTGTATGTACAAGTCAGTCAACAGGGTATCAGTGTACGTGTAACGATGGCTTTATTGGCGAAAACTGTGAATACAGTAAGTTTTCTATATCACAATCTACCGGACTGCAGATTCACTAGACTTTTCAAGAGAGAGAGAGAGCGAAAGAGAGAGAAAGAGAGAGAGAGAGAGAGAGAGAGAGAGAGAAAGAGAGAGAGAGAGAGAGAGCGAAAGAGAGAGAAAGAGAGAGAGAGAGAGAGAGAGAGAGCGAAAGAGAGAGAGAGAGAGAGAGAGCGAAAGAGCGAGAGAGACAGAGAGAAAGAGAGAGAGAAAGACAGAGAGAAAGAGAGAGAGAGAGAAAGAGAGAGAGAGCGAAAGAGAGAGAGAGAAAGAGAGAGAGCAAGAGAGAGAGAGAGCGAAAGAGAGAGAGAGAGAAAGAGAGAGAGACAAAGAGAAAGAGAGAGAGAGTAACATATGGTTTAATTTTATTTCAATAATTCGCTTACGCGTAAGGGGTCTTTAGCAGTTGAAGGAAACTTGAGGACCTGGAGAAAACCCATGAAGTTGGACATGCGACCTTATACATTGTCACGTACAATCGGGGAATCGAAACCACGCCAGTTGACTCAATGACAGACCTTATGATACAGCGCCCACGTGCTAGCCATTGCCCACCCCACCCCCTTAGTTTTAAAGCGACTGTCTGTCTGAACAATCTATTTATTAACGATTTCAAATATTAAATGTGTAATATTTTAAAGCAACTGTAATAACTATGCCTGTGAGAATAATCTATATACAAACGATTTACAATAATAATTGTGTTATATTTTAAAGCGACTGTCTGACAGCTATGTATAAATAATGTACTATAATGGGCATGTATAAATAATTTGTTTCTGTTATTTTAAAGCGAATTTCTGTGCCAGCAATCCATGTATAAACGGTACGTGTTATAATGACGTCAACAACTATAGATGTGGGTGCCCATTTGGTTTCGCTGGTAACCCATGCAGAGGTAAACAGATCTTAATTATTTATCATTCCGTATCTCGACAATTTCCGTACCTTGTGAACTGTAGTACGTATCTCTACAATTCCCGTACCTTGTAAATACAGCCAAGGATTTTAGATTACATGTTAAAACCAAATCGTACGGGAATTAGAAGGTAGTTTTCACTATCGAAACGAGGTTCCCCGTTTGTCATTAATGAAAGACAAGCCGCTTTCCGGAAAAATTACCCTGACAGAACACTGTGTGCCGGGTTGCCCGTCTTCATTAGCCCAGTCGGCGCAGAATAGTAATAAGTTTAACCCCATTTCATTTCACCATCGACACTTTCACGATTGATGGTTCTCCCAAAACATATCCTCGGCAATGTTTCTCGAAATTTTAACTAAAGATAAAATCCAAATTTTAGTAGATACTTCAATTTTGATTGGCTAAGCACTAAAATCAATCTAATATTATCTAATCAAGTTACTAAAAATTGGATTTTATCTTAGTTAAAATTTCATGAAACAGGCCCTTGGATTATTATATTTAACGCGAAGTATTCTGACGGAAGCACGATGGCTCTGTTAGTACGGATATAGCCTCACTAAAATTAACCATGTTCACCGACAAAGGGTTAAATCTATTTGATAAGGCCAACCTCAAGTTTGGTCAACGGTCACGAGATGTAAACAGTGCTAGCGCTAATCCAAACTCTAACCCTATCCCTGGACCTAGCACTAACGCTTACCCTAACCCTAACCTACAATCTCGCCAACAATTACGTGCCAGCGACCTTGCCGAAAATTGAGTTGGCCTTAACAAATAGATTTAGCCACGAGAAAGGTCCTCATGATTTTCAAGCGGGGTTTTGCAGGAGCGATTGTAGTCGTACGAGTGGGACGAAAAAACCCAAGGTTAGGTTTACAAGTAAAATAATCCCTGACAGCTGGAGTTCCAGCTAAATTCCCTTCCTAGTATAACGCATGGCGCCTGCCCTTCTCCATTACATGTATTCTTGTTGGTAGAGAAAATAAAGGCATTAAACCCCATTTAATTTTATTTTATATCATTTCATTTGTTTAACCAGATTGTAGCAGTTTATGGCAGTGTGCATCGAATCGTAATGCGTACATTGTACCGGACCCTATGGATGATACTAAATACATCATCTGTCAAGACGGCGCCAAGATCACCATCGACTGTAGCGTGGGTCAAAAATTTATTCCCATGAAGATCCAATGCGAGTAAGCCAGAGGTCAAGGTCGTTATGTAAAGTTCAAGGTCATTATACAAAGTTCAAGGTCGTTATGTAAAGTTCAAGGTCATTTAATTTGAATTATACTTATATTAAACATAAGATGTAGATTTCAGTTTATTTGTAAAAATGTGCTAAAGTTATAATTTATGCCTGTATGTAATTAATGTTGTTATGTTAATTGTGTTAATGAATACTCCGTTAATCAAGAGATTAACAAAAAAAAGGAAGAAATAAATGAATCTTTCTTTTTAATGAATTGTGCTGATTTTGTTAAACATACATTATGCAACAGCTAAATCTGCCTATTGCAGGTATTTCTTTAGGCCTGAAATGTTATCTAAATTATTAATTATACATTAATTAACTTATCCAGACCATAATCAACTATCGATTGTGTCGGATTGTCACTGGATTTAAAACCGATTTGCTGCTCAACCCCTTATGGATGATTAAATCCAAAAATGGATCATCAAGACTATGTTTTTTTTTTATCTTACCGACTTTAGTAATGTTGACCGAGGCTAGGTCGAAAAATCAATCGCTAATATCTCGGTTCAGAGCGGAGTAATGTGACTGCAATTGTCAGCATATCCCCTTTACATTATCTAGTTTGTAACTATTATAGTGACAACTGACAAATCCTCATCTGATCTTCCATAATGTATCTTTAAGCTTTATTTATTTACTACGTACGTTACCATTGTAGTCAACGTTGTCCTTTCCTCCGTGACCAAAATATAACAGACAACTACAGTGTTTAGGTTTATTAGAGAGAGAGAAAGAGAGATGGGTTCCACTCGACACAAACTAGGTCATTTCAGGACTAACATATATTTCAATTTTATTTCAATAATTCGCTTGCGTGTAGGAGTCTTTAGCACTAGCAGTGAGAGGAAAACGGAGGACCCGGAGAAAACCCACAAGGTTGGACAGGCGAAGGTTCATTCGAACTTAATTCTTTAAGTTAAAGGCAAGTGTTAGTCTCCTCCGCTCTCAAAATTATCTGACTTCGATATCACTGGTATGGCAGTCTGGGTGAGCCCTCTCGAATCACAGCCCCGCTCATTCTTTTAAAGATACCAACGTCCCTAGTACTAACTGACCAAAGTTGTAATTTCTAAGTATGAAATGGATATGACCTATACCTTGCAAACCAGTAGGGATTTGGTCAACTAAATACACTTCATCACCGTTTGTGCATTTTCATAAACAAAAAAATACATGATTTTCTTTCTCTCGAAAATGAAGGATTTGGGTTGCCCGAATATTTAAAATGACGCTAGAAATACATAAATGTATAAGAATTATCTTGAAAGAGGAAACTACATGGGTGAACAAGACTAAAAGAATCTAACCAAATTGGCTGCCCAGGGGGTAGATTAACCATACTTGACAGATTTATCAGCAGTGATTTAAGGGTTCCCTAATAAATGTAAAGGACCTATGCGTCTTGGCTTAGTGCTAAATGATAAGGCCAGTACAATGTTTCGTCATAGGTCACGAAATGTAAACAGGGCTAGCGCCAATCCCTAACTCTAACCCTGGACCTAGCCCCAACGCTTACCCTAACTCTAACCGACAATCGCGACAACAATCACGTGTCCTAACTTTATTCACATCTTAAGAGACCTTGACAATTGAGCTGGCCTTTACAAACACATCTATCTATGCGTCTTGTACCTTTTTGTACACTTGTTCGGGCATGCTGCAAAATCCTATCATCATTAAGAGAGAAAGGTAGACAATGAAAACGTTGAATATATTTAAAAATACAAAGGTAGGCAGTGATAAAGGCATCTGTGAAACCTTTGCCATTAGCTAGACATGCTACATACCTCAAAGAATAGGAGGCGAGTTGACACAAATGCAAAACTTTAATATCCAGCTGTCTGCAAACATTTAGGTAGAAGTTCAAGTGACACTGATGACACCGTTTTGTGGATTCAGACAAGTCTTGCAAAATCCAACACCATTTTTAAGACTGGGAGATATAAATTCAAATGACATGTGATTTGATGGTTGCTCAATGCTGAACTCTATAAAACCAAGAGAAAAGGCCCGTGGGGTTAATCAGTCTCATAAAGTCTTGGTACATGACGGGCACAAATGGTAAAAATTAATATAGCCCGGTTGGAGCTGACGTGCCGTTAAACTCCATTTAATTTATCCACGCATTATACGACTCCAATTCATTGCCAAATTCTACCGTGATCACAATCTTGTGTTTTCTGTCTATCGAGCGTCAAAGAGAATATTCGTCCACCTAGTTCAGCTCTACTGATCCAATTCAATTTCCCTATAGGGGGGGGGGGTGTATGGCTGAATTGTTACCACGTGTCCAAACTCGAGACAGATGGGGCTTAATGTCCACTCGACCCAAACTAAGTCAATTCGGGAGTAGCATATGATTCAATTTATTTCATTAATTCGCTTGCGCGTAGGGATCTTTAGCAGTGGCAGGAAACCGGAGGACCCGGAGAAAACCCACGAGGTTGGACAGGCGACCAGTTGACTCAATGACAGACCTTATGATAAAACGCGCACGCGTCTATGGACAATTACGAAAATATTTAAAAATTCCACAGAAACATGTTTTGTAATAAGCAAAGCCGTGTGATAACTCGGTCATCTATTCCGATCAAATCAACCAAACATTCAACAGTGTTCATCCTTTTGTCCCCAGAAACAATTCAACAGTTTTTCATACGAAAAATGAATCTAAAATATTGGAATTTCGATACGTTTCTTTTAATTTCCATTCTGACCAAATACACAAAATAAACTCAATTGGAATTAGAAATGGTGTTTTTAAATCTCCTATCTTTCTATCCAATACAAAACAATCAGTTATTATAAATAATGATTCCTCAACTTTTAAAAATTCCGGTGTACCTTAGGGCTTCGTACTGGGAACGCTCCTTTTTCTCATTTTCACTAACGATATTACAAATGAAATTATCTCCCGATTAAGATTATTCGCAGATGATACTTCGTTATTTTTGGTTATAGATACCGGCCCCCCCCCCCCCTTTAATACTTTGAATACTGATCTAAAGTAAATTCATGATTGGTCAGAAAAGCGGAAGGTCGATTTAACCCAGACAAAACATTCAGTAGAAGAAAAAACAACCGAACTTTGCTTGTCACTTCTTTTAACGATATCCCATTATATGATGTTATTTTTAACAAACATTGTAAATGGGAAAATCGCGTGGACTTTTTAATAAGTAAAACCTCAATCATGGTCGACTGTCTGAGAAGGTTAAAATTTAGACTATCGCGTAAATCTTTGAGTATTTTGTCTAATTCTTTTATGCTTTCCATGTTTGATTACGCTGATACAGTCTGGAATAATAATACTGAAATAAATTCACACAAAATTAGATAAAACTCCACCTAGACGTGTTATGAACGATAACTGACCTGCCTCGTGCAACCTCCCGCAATACACATTATACCGAATCCTATGGAAGACCAAGCAGCTCTTTATTCAGTGTTCTTAATTCTTACTTCTTAATTCATAGTTCTTATTTCTTCATGTGTTGTCGCATTTCGACATTTGTACAATAAAATGAACATTTGTGTCTTAAAATCAATATTTGTTTTACAAATCAGTCATTTGTCATATCAGATTTGTAAAATGTATTTTTGTTTAATTTAATTTTATTTTAATATAAAGATATCATTTATTTCAGTAAATCAAAAAAATAATCTACATTTACATTTCATCATAGACATACAACGAAAAACAAATCTCGATCAACAAATTTCTAAATACAAATCTCCAAATACAAATCTTGCAAAACATTTCTCCAAAAACATTTCTTCAATAACATTTCTCCAAAAACATTTCTCAAAATTCATCGAACAGGAACATTATGACGACATAATCAACTTGGCATACAATAAGTCACCATACAATAACGGAGAATCGAGCAAACATATATTCAATAAAAAATATCGCTCAATGACCATGACTTTGGTGAAATCTAAAATCGCGGGCGTATATCTGCTTTAACAAGGTACGTAAATATGAATAAGTCAGAAAATATGCATCCCGATATCTTGTATTTTGTGTTATGCCCCCCCCCCCACACACACACCTCATATATACATGTTAACGCCATTTCAATTTTGTTATTTTTTCAAGGTATGTAAATACAAATGTACAAGAAAATAATTTACATTATGTAGCAAACTATAAATATACTTTCAGCTGTATATGAATAGATATCGAGAATTTCTTTTTAAGATGGATTTTTTTTTATTTTACTTTAAATACCCCGCCCCTCCCCTCTCACTTAATAAAGTTTAGTACCGTGGAACCCATTTCAAGGTATGTAAATATAACTGTGCCAGAAAATAACTTGAAAAGTTGTACGCTATTAAACTCTATTAATTGATTGGGAAGGGGTGATTGGGGTCTTAATACCACTGAAAAGAAGTTTCATTTACCTTTTCAGAAATGTAAATTATATTGTGGCACATTTAAATATTTACATAGCTTCAAAAGGATTTTACAGTTTGATGACTCTAAATAACATTAAGTTATTGGGGCCGGGTGGGGAGTATTTAAAAGTTAAAATACGGGTTATCGTGTAATGCCCACACTACACACTCCAGTGAAATATAATACCATTCATTTATTACCAATGTATTTTAGAAATATTACTTGCCTACTCTATGGTAATGCCGAATTATCTCCAGACGTCAACACAGATATATTTAAAACAGTTTACAAGTATATTAAAGGGACTATCCCGATTTGAACAGAGTCTAAAAAATAAAAGTCTGAGTACGTATGATATTTAGGCGCCAAAATATAGAGAAATGGTATATTTATCTTGTCTTAAAGTTTCAGCTCAAAATATTAAGTAGTTTGGGCGCGAACGTCAAAACTGCTTATCCGGACACGTAACCCTTTTAAGATTTCGGGTCAATTTTTTTGTTTGGTGACCTGATAAACGATTCCCGTTCCTTTAGCGGTCTATACAATGAATGACCCATGTGCTGTACTTGATAACGAAAGGTAAATTTCACATACACATTATTTTTATAAAATTAAAGCCTGGCAGGTTTAAGTTGTTTGAAAATATATCACATATATTGAGTTAGTTGCGCGGCCCTAAGGTAGAGGATATTAAGGGATTTTAACACAAAATTAAGCAGTTTTATTCTCCAAAATATTATCGGGATTGGCCCTTTAAACATGTAAACCGTTTTCCTCCGTAAAATAAACCTTTGGGTGAGGAATTTATTTATTCTTTTAAATATTTTTATATATTTTTTTTTATTTTATTTCATTTATATATTTATTCAAAATTACTTATCTACTTATTTGTACCGTAACTAAAATAATGTAATTAGTTTTTGTCTATATCATATATAATTTGAAATTGTACATATATTATAAACTCAACCCAGAAGGAAACAAATTATTATACGTCGTACATGTAAGCCTACTGGGCTTGTACAGATATCGGGATCACGTGGCTAAGTGGATAAGACGCTAGCTCGCTAGCCTGGAGGTCGGGTGTTCGATCCCTGCATTGGCCGAGAAAGTTCATCCAGATTTTCCGGCGTGGTTCTCCCTTGTCAGTGATGCAGGATGGAGGGGCTGACAAGGAAAGCTGTCTAGTCGTTCGGATGGGACGAAAAACCGAGGTCCCGTGTACACATTGGCGTGCACGTAAAAGATCCCTTGGCAGTTGGAATTCGATATAAGAGTAGGCCGTAGTGCCGCTGCCCGGGAAAAAATTTCCCTCATAGCACACTGTATGGCGTATGCCCGTCTTCATTAGCCCAGGTTAGGAGCAGAACAGTAGGACGTTAAACCCCATTTCATTTCATTTCATTTCATTTGTACAGATATCATACCCAGAAGGAAACAAATTAATATAAACCTACTTGACTTGTTCCTGTATCCTATTCTTTATCCGTCTTCGTTAGCCCAGTCGGAGCAGAATAGTAGGACGTTAAACCCCATTTCATTTCATTTCCTATTCTTTATGCTTTTATATTTTATAATAATCTCAAAATAAATACTGTTTAAACTAAACAAACAATCTCTGAAAGTAAACTAAACCTTATTTTGTGTAGAATGTTCATACGTATCAAGTGCCGCAGTTGATAACATTTTAATATCGACGTATAAACACAACATAATTTATCTTTTAAAATAATAGTTTGAGATCTCTGGCTTTGGGCCAGGAGATTCATCTAATTCAAAATATAGCAAGCATTTAACTTTTTTGTTTAACAAAAAAATGTATTTTATATAAGGCAACTATCCAATGGACGGTCAACAACAAAGCTCACAGGTGCTTTTAAACATTTTCTCTTTTCTTCCATATTTATCCTGAACAATCACATCAGGATTATGATGATGGCGGAAAAAATGACAAATACTATCAGTATTTATCTTTCGGCCTTCTCAAGATCATGTTTAAAAAAATATTTCTTCTGAAAAACAGTTTCTCAATACGAAATAAACAACGACGTCTTATTCGAAGCTTCTGTTGATCTTTTTAAAAAAATAACACGAACATTCAATACATTTGAAAATTGGACTAGAGAAAGATATCCGATTGTTGAATTCAAGACTTGAGGATTATCGTTAAACATGCATTAAGCTTGTTTCAGGTATTCGGTACTGGAATGTAAGCCAACAATGGTAATTTACCCACAGGAAAAATATATTCAACAGTTTATATTTGTTGACAATGGTCGTGTCTATCTTGACATGACATTAAGAGGGCTTAATGATTCGGTACGAGCGGGTCGAGGGTTGGGGAGTACGGGAGGGTCGAGAGTGGGGGTAGACATAGTGCAAAAGACCAGTACATGGACCGCTCCTGAATTGCTCCGCACCAATGAATCGGTACCCATGGGATCGAGGGTTGAGGGATACGGGCGGGTCGAGGGAGGGGGGTAGACAGCGCAAAAGACCAGCACATTGATCGCCCCTGAATTGCTCCCCACCAAGTCCTGGTAAATGTATGTAGCGTGCGTGTGTTTGTGTTTACGCGTTATACAAAATTATAAATGAAATGAAATGAAATGAAATGAAATGGGATTTAACGTCCTACTGTTCTGCTCCTATGCTGGGCTAATGAAGACGGGCATACGCCATACAGTGTGCTATGAGGGAAATTTTGCCCGGGCAGTGGCACTATCGCCTACTCTTATATCGAATTCCAACTGCCAAGGGATCGTTTACGTGCATTCCAATGTATACACGGGACCTCGGTTTTTCGTTCATCCGAAGGACAAAATTATAAAAGAAATAACGTATGCTACTACTACTACCTGGTGCTTTAACGTCTGCTTCCACATAAGTGATATCGCAGACAAGACATAGGAGAGCCGAGGCTTCTTCCGGTGTAATAACGTATGGAGGCGACACGACATTTTATGGGTTGACTATCTGGCATTAAGATCGTGCATGAGATGACTTCATTATTAATTAACGGGTTTCCTAATCTAAAACAGAGAGATACAACTGCACTTCTTCATTCCTGCGCCAGGGGGGCGACAACCACCTCGCCCCCAAACCTTCTTACGTCCCTATTTTGATTTTGTTTTCGTAATTAAATGTTAAGAATTAATTAATGTGTGTACATTATTGCTTAGAATTAAGTTGTGAAAAAAATTAGATATTGCAACAACAATAGCAAATGGACACTAGCCAAAGCCCCGCAGTTCAGAGAAAAAGAGAAAAAAAAAATAAAATTCCAGATGAAAGTTTCACGGTAATCGATTTTGCGGCGCTAGGGCGGAGATTGAACTATCCCTCAACCTTCTCGGTTATCGGGGAATTCCCTTGTTATAACAGTTCCCTGTCTTCATTGTATGCCATTCCGAACTGAATAGATTTCATATGTGATCACATATTATGTAATTATTCTTGTATTACAGATCGATTAGTTGCGACGCGATTCAGGCCCAGGGTCCCGCTCCGGTTAAGCTGGACTTTGACACTCGTGTTTGAGTTTTGTCACCCGATATGTATTCTTTAAAAGGGGAGAGAGAGAAATGTATCGGGTTGGATGGCCGAATGGTTAGCACGTTCGCGTTGTATCATACGTCTGTCATTGAGTTAACTGGCGGGGTTTTGATTACCCGGTTGTACGTGACAAGGAGTAGGGTCGCCTGTCCAACCCCGTGGGTTTTCTCCGGGTCCTCCGGTTTCCTCCCACTGCTAAAGACCCCTACGCGCAAGCGTATTATTGAAATAAAATTGAACCATACGTTAGTCCAGAAATGATCTAGTTTGTGTTGAGTGGACGTTAAACCCCATCTCTCCCTCTCTCTTAATAGGGCCAACTTGGCTCAGTGAATAAAAGTTTTCTTGTCCAGTCTGGTTTAGCCTTGGCGGCGGTACACCACAGTAATAGCCACACGTACATCAGCTTCCCCTCGAGAAAAAAAAAGTCATAGACAGTAGCTTATCCGAAATGAAATTTGGAGGTTGATCAAATTTGATAAGGCCGTGTCTTCAATATATCTGATCTTTATATCGTATTCACAGGCTTCATACAATTCTGTTACAAACTATAGCTCTATCGCGTTTATAAGATCATTTTTGGACTAACATATGGTTCAATTCTATTTCAATAATTTGCTTGTGCGTAGGGGTCTTTAGATGTGAAGGGAAGCCGGAGGACCCGGAGAAAACCCACGAGGATTGACATGCGACTCTACTCCATGCTCGTGCAAGCGGGGGATCGAAACCATGCAACTTGACAGAGCTAGAGAATCCGACGGTATGTTTCAAGCCCGTAAGTAAAGTGCAGGCCTAACACTTGCGGGATGACAAAAAAATGTGTTCAGTTGTTCTGAAGGGACAACAATAAGATATTCGCTTGTGTACACATAGGCGTACACGTACCGGAACAATTGACAAGTGGATGTTGAAGAAGCGTAGGCGGGAATGCCACTGTCCCGGCAATATTACCATAGTAACCGAAAGGCACACTACATCTTAGTCTCAAAGTTGGGGGGGGGGTGGCCGAATGGTTAGCACGTGAGTGCTGTATCATAAGACCTGTCATTGAGTCAACTGTCGTGGTTTCGAATCCCCGGTTGTACGTGACAAGGAGTAGGGTCGCCTGTCCAACTTCGTGGGTTTTCTCCGAGTCCTTCGGTTTCCTCCCACTGCTAAAGACCCCTACGCCCAAGCGAATTATTGAAATAAAATTAAACCATATGTTAGCCCCGAAATGACCTAGTTTGTGTCGAGTGGACGTTAAACCCCATTTCTCTCTCTCTCTCTCTCTCTCTCTCTCTCTCTCTCTAGTCTCAAAGTTACCGAATTGGAGCCGAACAGTAGGACGTTAAACCCCATTTCATTTCAAAGTGACAGGGATAAACCTCATTGCATTCGAAAAAATATTAGAATTAGATAAAATAAAAACACTCTAACGGTTTACTTAGGCTTTTATGGAGCCCTTTTCATATTTCGGGCTAGTCGGAAACGCGGATGGAAGACGGGGGAGGGGGCGTGGAAGTGCGGGACAGTCGGGCGGGGAGAGAGGCCTCAGACCCCTCAAATAATTTATTTGCAAATATCGTTGCTTAGTTTTACAATTTTACCCGGGGGGTCAACACCATATTGTCAGCCCCACCCCACCCTCAATATGAATTTTGTTCGGGAGGGCCTGTGGCCATTGAAGCAATAATAAGCAAATAAATTAATAATGCTAGATAAAAATGACACAGAAAATTGAAATTTCTCACGCAAATGAGTAACTATTTCCGAATCGTCACCACCTTGCCAATAAAAGGAAAGAGGTCTAAGTTTATTTCAAGAGAGAATACTTCAGCCATTGTGTTGGATAGAGCGTCGATTATTCAAACTATTGAATGTGAAGGTTTTAAGCTAAGATGGGATGTTGATACGCCAAGCATCACTCATCCAACGAATCTTGAGATCTGTGCCAACATTACCCCTCCCATCTAAACACACATTTCCCGCGCGTTTAAAACCTTCAACCCGTTTCACGATTGCTCATTCGACAGGAGACAGTTGTAGCAGACGAACAATACGTCACGTCACGAGCAGTAGAACGAGACATCAATAGATAGTTAGCAGATCGTTTCGTAAATTCGGATCTTTGTAGGGATAAAGTTGGTGACGAAGTATATCTAGTCTTACTATTACAACAAACATGATTGGATTAATCAAGTTTTTCATTTTCGGTAAGTGTTCCTTTACTTGTTTTCTCTACGGCTGATTTTCCATCATGGGTTTATCTTGCCGGTGTTCAAGGCCGGACTGTCACGAAACAAAGTATACTCATTCGGATGGTGCGACAAACCGACGTCTATTCTAAACGTTGGTATGTTAATAATGTAACCCTTGGCAGTTGGAAATCAACGACAAACTTTCCGTCCTGTTTAATTTCTAAGATTGACTAGAGGCTGTGACGGGTGTAGTACACGGGGCTTGATATTCGTATTTATTCTGAAACTTTTATTTGGGAGTTGTATTTGTTGTATTGTAATCTTTTTAGTCAATTTTATTCAAGTCCCGTATTCACCCTATAATTAAATGAACACCGGGCAAATAAACACACGCGAAGACAGAAACCGGGTTTCTATCTGAAATACGAGAGAAAAATAAATATGGAGTAGATTTTTAATTAACAATTAAGTTTCAGCGGTTTCTTTTTTTTTAAAAGTCCCAATACGAGCTACGCGATGTTAATAAAAATAAATACTAGACTTGATTTCATTGGCCTCTAAGTTTAATTGAGAAAACCTCGGTGTGTCAGTGCTTAAGGCGCCGGTTTGCTAACCAAGGTATCAGGTTGTCTCACAAGTCGCGTATGTTCTTCGATATTTTCCGGCGCAGTTTTCCTCTTGTCAGTGATGCAAGACAGAGGGCCTGGCAAGGGCAGTGACTATTCGTTCAGATGGCACAAAAAAACTGAAGCCTCGTGAACACATCGGCGCTTACGTATATATAAGACGTCATGAATTTGAAATAAGACTATTAATATTATATTGACAAATAAAAAACCGATCTGGTCGGCGATTAGTAAGATCGTTTGGGATATTCGGTTTCTAAATTAACAGAAGGCCGTTAACCCGTTTTCATTTTAATTTCGGGAAAACCCGTAACATACATAGGGTAGCTAAGTTTCTAACTCAATATGACCTAAAGTCTTCGATATTGAAAACATGAATTATTTGTCAATTTAAATCAACATTGATGTTGTGATCTTACAGGGAAAAGATAGACTCCTGATATCCAATATTTTAGACAAAATAAACATTTTACCATTGGTACACGAATCGTGTACCATAATGCGTTTCAGCGCCATTTGTAATAAGGCAGTCGCAGAACATGGCTAGACATATTCCACAAGACATGTCAAACGGTGAGGCCATATTCTTATCCGGAGAGCATGTGCAATAAATACTATCGGTGTAGACTGGAATAACCAGACGCTAGAGATTGTATTTCGCCGAAAATAACTGATTTGAAATTAGAGTAAAAACGGAAACAATTGAATGTAAATAAGTTTATATAAATTCATATTACATTATTATATGCGTTACGGCGACCCATTTGTGTCAATTTCTAGGTCAATTTCTAGGTCCCAAATATTAGCGATTTAGCTCCTTTAAGTTTGCCTCTTTTGTCCTGTTGATTAACTTGGTAAACATATAAAAAAAAACGATAAAAAAATATAATTTATTTAAATCTATCCAGAGGTTTCTTTCATGCGTGTATATTTACATGAATGTCATTGACATAGAAAAACAAATCTGATAAAAACTGTAATAAAAAGAGTATAAAAAATGGAATTTATTCGGTTTTTTGGGTGTAAATCTACATCAGAATAAAGATATGAGAATGTTGTAGTATGTATTCGTTAATTAAATAATTGTTTGTATAGCCGCGGTTGAAGTAGGTGGTTTATTTGTTTTATACGGTGATGATGCTTGCACGCCATCTTATAAAACGCTTTAATTAACAACATACTCTATACCAGTGATTCTCAACCAGTGTGCCTATGCCGCGGGATCTTCTTAAGTGTGCCGCGAAATTTTGAACGGCACACTAAGAAAATGTGAATTAAATACGTGATCCCAATTGAGTATCCACTGATAAGTTCATAGCTGTGTTTTTCTTTATTCAGTTTGAGTCATTCTAAGTATCTATGACTAGTCTCTGTCTACGGTTGTATTCCGTCTGACTTAACCATGTTTTTATTTTGCCGCTATTTCTTCATGTGTTCCAAGGTGTGCCGTTGGCAAAAAAAGGTTGAGAACCACTGTGCTACACTCAACCGGTATCTTCCGTTTTAAGGAGGGAAGCCGCAGTGGCTTAGTGGGTAAGACGCTGGCTCGCTAGCCTGGAGGTCTGGTTTTCGATCCCTGCATTGGCCGAGAAAGTTCATCTAAATTTTCCGGCGTGATGCAGAACGGAGGGCTTGACAAGGACAGCTGTCAAGACGTTCGGATGGGACGAAAAACCGAGCTCCCGTGTACACATTGGCATGCACCTAAAAGATTCCTTGACAGTTGGAATTCGATATAAGAGTAGGCCGTAGTGCCGCTGTCCTGGAAAATTTCCCTCATAGCAAACTGTATGGTGTATGCCCGTCTTCATTAGCCCAGTTCGGAGAAGAATAGTAGGACGTTAAACCCGATTTCATTTCATTTTTCATTTCTGTTTGAAGGAGATTTGAGGTGGCGAAGCCGTCAATTAAAACTGGTATTGGAGCGGCAAATAGATCACCGGTTTGAATATCAATTCTGTGTAAACCGTGAGCGATGGTCAGATCTCCTACTTCAAAACTACCGTAGTTTTAATGTTCTCGTATGTGAGCGTCGCTTAGATCTCCGATATCAATGTAAGCCGAAAGAATTCAACAGAGGCCCACCTCCACTCTTGTCGATGAACGTATTTTAATGCTACAAATTTGGATATAGTGACATTGGTCCACGAATACAAATAGTGTTACCTATGCTTGGGGTTGGGGGAACATTGCTAATACAATATATAACCCTTGCCGCCCCCCCCCCCCCAGAAAAACAGACGTCAATCTGCGCTTTGCGAAAGGGGGGTAAATGTGTTACTAGAAGTATGGACCAATTAGCAATGTAGTTCATTTGCCTGAAATATCAACTAGAATTTCAAATGCCGACACGATTGAACAGACAATTGCTGTCTTAAAATTGCACATAAGTATTATGTACATTTCTGTGAATATATTTACATTTATCCAATTAGTACTGCGTTTTTGTTCATTTTGCGTCCGTTTTGGCAATAGATAAAATAAAATTATAATGCATACCCGACATCCCAAAAGCCAATGTACACACATATGACAAAGAAAACAAAGAATATTCTTTTTTAACCAAAAAATACACAGAGTTTTATTTGGAGTAAATACATAGATACAGATGAAAATACTTCAAAGGTTTTGGTTTTGTTTACGGATTGTTAAATTAGGGTTATAACAAATATAGCATATATATAGATTAAAGATTGGAGTTCGAATCCAACTTTGTCTAGATTGATAAAACAGGTGGTTTTAAACTCTTTTAACTTTTTGATGTGCAGATAAAAATGATTTGGGGTGATTAGAATTTTGGCTCTGTTTTGCTTCCTTTGAACATTGCTAATAAACTGGAAACAAATAATATTAACATATACTTATCTGCGATTTAATCTTACATGTAAGCGGACGTAAAGCTTGTGTACATAGATTTTCGTGGTTAGAAAACAGGGTTTGAATTTGCAAAGTGTTCAAATGTTTAAGTATAGGTTAAACAATTCGAGAAAGCTCTAGGAAAAAGGTATTATAACCTGTTAAATATATTTTTGTTTTTGAATAAAAGAAATAATAAACTAGTTCGAATTTTCAATGGCATGAAATAAAAATAGTTAAATGGCCACAAAATTATATCAACAAAAGGAAAGCATAGATTTGAACCATAACAGAACCCGTGACATCCAGCGACTACAAATAAATTAGAAACAAATAATATTAACTTGTCAAAACCATAATCAACTCTCGTCGGATGCTCTTGAATTTCAACGTATTTAAACACGATTGACGGTTAATTGATAAACGAGACTTTGTATACTATCGTAACAATGGTAGCAACGACAATCGAGGCTCCGCTATTCTTCAAAAAGCCCTAACGTCAATTCAAGATATTCCCTTTTCGTTACCTTGATCTAACTCTTACTGTTGAGTCTTTAAATGGCCAAAGAATTATATCAATAAAAGCAAAGCAAAGATTTGAACCATAAGATATAAGACACTGAACGACTATAAATAAATTAGAAACAAATAATATTAACATAATACAAACACAAGTAAAATAACATTAAACTTCTTTCCTGATTTCATACATTTTGGTTAAACTTAGCCAGTGGTCATCGCTATTTGTTTAGTACTGCAAGTCAGTACGTCATTCTTCCTCCATCTTATGTAAACACGTGGTATTTGTATAACGATTAGATACAATCTTTACCACGCCCCTCTCTACCAACCACAATATATTGGTGAATTAGGGTAACACAGGGTTGTTAACACCTGTATATAAATCACAGGTACCATAATGGCGACAGACTTTACACCTCTTAAATCCCTTCCTCAAATTGATAAATACCAGGGGGTTTGGATGGCGGAATGGTTAGCACGTGCACGCTGTATCATAAGGTCTGTCATTGAGTCAGCTGGCGTGGTTTCGAATCCCCGGTTGTACGTGACAAGGAGTAGGGTCGCCGGTCCAACCTCGTGGGTTTTCTCCGGGTCCCCCGGTTTCCACCTACTGCTAATGACCCTTACGCGCAAGCGAATTATTAAAAAAAATTAAGCGATAAGTTAGTCCCGAAATGACGTAGTTTGTGTCGAGTGGATGTTAAACCCCATTTCTCTCACTCTCAACTCTTAAATCCGTTCCTCAAATTGCTAAATACCATTACGCGCAAGCGATGATTGAAAGAAACTTGATTGTACTGTATGTTGAGAACTCAAATCGACTAACATATTTTAGACAATTTATTATTTTACCGGAAGTAACGCCATTTTGATTTTCTCTTTTATGTCATTTAAAATATGAACTTCAGTTACCCCCCCAGTTCAGTTCATCGAGATCTTTACAAAGGCAGTTCCCACCAATTACTGTCGATGATCTGTAACGAGAAATGCAGTTTTTAAAAAAAAAAAAAA